TTACTTTTGAATGTCTACATGTATTGATTTCTTTGTGAAGCGTTGAGGCGTTGAGGCCCCTGTAATAGCTGGATATTTTCTTAAAATCCAGGTGGGGGCTTCAGCCTCCGGCTGCCTGTTCTCACACTTTTATCGCTGTATGTGTATGTGTGTGTGCGTGTGTGTGTGTGTGTGTTTGTGTGTTTGTTGCAGCTGTTTTCGTCGCATAAGGGACACTTGCTTCGTTAAAGATAGGGATTAATCTTGCTTGTGTGTTCTGTTGGACACAGTAGTTTCTACCCATGGGTACCAGTACTGGCTGGCTATGCAGACTCACTAGTGTGTCCATATAAACACAGTGGAGGTTTTTCCAAAGACATAAGGGACATTTTCCTTGTTAAGGATAGGGATTTATATTGTGTGTTCTGTTGGACACAGTCGCATAGGGGACACTTTCCTCATTAAGGATGGGGAACCCAGTACGGAAAGATAACTGTGTTTATGTAAACACAGTACCCTTACGTGTGTAAAAGTGTGTGCTGATGAACACAGTTGTAGATAGGTGGTGTGTTCAATTAAACACACTGCCATTCCTTTCTCATTAAGGATTGGGAAAGGGATTTATATTGTGTGTTCTGTTGGACACAGTACTCTGGACCCATGGGTACCGATACCACTGTGCCCGTACTGGCTGGCTATGGAGACTTGCTATCAATAGTGTGTCCAGTTGAACACGGTAAATGATTTGACCAATCAAATCTCTTTTTGACAGTTGAGGGCATCAGCCTCCGGCTGCTTGTTCTTAGCGATAGCGGGTACTACTTGTACCGTACATGACGCGAAGATTTTTGCTTTTTGTTCGCCGCGTATCAGTTTTCCGCGTATTAGTACATGCAGAGATGCAGCCACAACAACACGACAACTACCAGATGAAACCTCATTGTAGTATCTTGATCGATAGATTCCCTTGACTTCACACAGGAATTACGGTACCGGTACCATAAGCTCCACTTCAGTGGCTCAACAACTCCTCCCTTGCAAACCGAGTTTGTCTACGAAGCGCTTACTGTATCTCATCACGATACCACACCTCCACGCGCGCCCCTCACAGTGGAGAATCCACGGTACTGGTACCAGTATCGGGACCACAAGAAACGAGCGGAAACTGTATTATTGTCACCCATCCCACGGGCATCCACCATAATTTCTCTTGTGCTGTGATTGTCATTGATGAAACATGAGCCAGGAGAAACGTCGCTGCCCCTCTGACTACTCCCTTGAGGAGCTGGAAGAGCTGGAAATGGAGTTGAAACGAAGACGAATGGAATCCAATGAACCGCCCGCTTCCATCGCCGCCACAGCCAACAACAACACTACCAACAACGACAACAAAGGCACTTTAAGCATCCACACTTCACGTAGCATTCTTTGGGACTTGCTTCAGTCAAGATCTGATTTTGAAATAATAAGAACTCTTCACGTGAATGATGCCATGGTTTTGTTGCGGCAGCATCCATCGTTAGTAACCAAACCCTTTCAGGGACGATCAGTGCTGTCATTTTTTATGCGCAATGATGTTCCAAGCTCAATTATCCAGGAGCTTTGTGCCATGTGGAAATCCATCAATCCTCAAAATGATGAAGATGAAGATTGGCAAAGCACTGGTTTTGAAGAGGAACCAAACTTTGTATTGGATGCTTGCAGATACTGCTCCAATCCAGACACTTTTCGGCTTCTTGTGAAGGAGTTTCCAGATCAAGCTGCTATTGAGGATGGTCCATGTGAGCTGTTTCTCAAGCGATGTGATTACGATGACTATGATGACTTCGATTGTGAGCCAAGGCCACCGGGTCAAGAGGCCACCGAGATTTTTCAAGTGTTATTCGAAAGCTACCGGTACGAGGCAAAGGACCTAAAGCTGGGCTGTGATGTTCGAGATCTCATTCTTGGATGTTGTTATGATCAGGAATTGTCTGATCTTCTTTCCACTGTAGTGTCCAAAGTCTTTGAAGAACGGAAGCTGGAGTTGACGTTTCACCCAGTGGGATACAAACGCAACTCAACGAGCAAAACTATTCCTTCCAAAGTTAACACACTTTCAACTAGATGGAATTTGCAATTATGGCGAGCGCAACATTGAATGCTTCCAATCCAAACTGGGTATGTTGTGTGAAGTGACGCCCACACGATTGATACATCTGCACCTTTCTGTGCTTCTGATTTCATCCACCAAAATGGAATTGACCTAGTTCTCGAGGCTGTACAGTCATGCCCAAACCTCAAGGATCTCAGCTTGGAACCATCACATTATGCGAGTTCCACAACTGCCAGAGATGCCCAAGCAGTCTGCAATCTCTACCAGGAGATTCTTCTTGGGACAAACAATCTGGAAGCCTTCAATGTAACAGTGCTTCCACAAACTGATGGACCATCATTGAGCAAGCTGCTTCAGGCTGCTTTTGCCAAGCTCAGATCATTTGTCTTGGCTGGGTATAGACAGAATGATGATGCGTGCGCCCCTTTTGAAATACCACCCAACAGCAGACTTCAAAGCTTCAAGTTTGCAGTGTCATTGGGTGCAAAGACTACAAAAGGTATTCTTGGACTCCTTTGTGGTTTGACATTATTGAATTCCTTGAATTTTCATGAGCGCCACAACAACCTGAGTGAAGTCAACATCAGTGATGAAATTCTGGAGCTCCTGGCACAAAATCGCCTTGAATCTCTTGGGTTCTGCGACATTGGAGTCAGTTTTCTCGAGAGCCTGGTGGATGGTTTGAAAGAGAACACATCAGTGAAGAAACTTTGTCAGTGCTACCAAACAAAAATGGTTTCTTTAGCGACCCTCAAATATTTTGCCAGCATGATGGAACACAATGTCTTGCTTGAGGATGTGACGTTTGCGTACAGGTACACCTTGAGAAGAAGAGATTTCAGGCCAACTGTTGCTCAAATCCAGTACTGGGCAGATTGCAACAAATGTGGAAGGGGCAAGCTGAGTGATCCCAAGGCACCATTGGATGAGTTGTTTGTGGCCTTGGAGACCGCCAAAGCGAAAACCCCTTATTCTTATTATTGTCCAGACAAACTCTGGTATGGGCTCCTCCGAGCCAACCCAGGAATTTGGGCTGAAGCTGCATTGACTGGACTTTGATAGGGTAGGCATTACTATTATGCAAGAAGAGCTGTGTTTTGCTCTCCTTTACGGCCCCAGCCCAAGGGCAATAATGATATCGTAGTGGGCTAAAGAACGCATTATTTTCATGTCTTACGGCAGCCAACGTCTAGCTAGTGAACAACGCATGTTGAAGCGAGCATCAAAGTGACGACCATGTGACGACCATTGCAGCCATTGATTGGCGAAATGTTAAGGAATACTAGCCAGCTAGCTAAGGCCTGGTGTAGGTCCTGGGAGATGGACGCAGACAAACTACTGACGTAAATTGGCGCCAGAACGTCATTCTTTAATAATTCGTTATGATGCTGTCTCCTCCGCTCCGATGGCTCGACTGGACGACGTTGCCGACGCCGTCGATCCGGTGGATTGCAACGACCGTGTCGACGAGGTCGCACTGGTGGCACTGAGCGTAGACGACCGTCGATTGGGCAGCATGGCCGCCGCTCGATGGGATACCCGCCGCAAGAGGGTTCGTCGCTTTTGAAATTGATCGGTATCGAGGGATAAATTGCGCTGCACGGTGGGTCCTGATCCCGGAGTGTCGTGGACGGAACGTCGCCGACACCGCCGGCCCAGTAATTTGCGGGCCGACGACGATCGCAGCAAGAAAGATCGCGACTTGCCCTGTGTATTGTTGTTGCTGTTGTTGTTGTTGCTATTATTCGAATTGGAACTGTCACCCTCTTGTGCGGCGGCATAATCGAGTTTTCCCACTTTTAGAGCGCGCCTTCGATCGCCCCGACTTTGAGATCGTGAAAAGGACTGAAGGGCATCGGCCATGGCTTCGGGTCGAATAGCTCCCTTGCGCTTTCGTTCCGTCTGCACCTTCAAGATGGCCGCCAAAAAATGTTGGATGCGTTGGCGTCGTTTGGTTTCGCCTTCTACTAGGTGTTCCAGTCCTCTCCAACATACCGAGTCGTCTTCTTCTTGCGACTCTTCTCGTTCTTGTTTTTGCCGACACAAATCCATATTGAGTTGTTTCAAGGCACGAATTTCCATGCTCGAGTACCAAATTTCCTTGCGGTCTTGGAGTTTGGGAGATGTGAATTCTGGATTGGCAAAGTGCTGGATTTCTACGGCTACGGGTCCGTCGGGAATGACAGAGAAGCGGACGCGACGACGATCACGAACGACGCAAAAGGACGCCGCTCGTCGACGACGTCGTCCTGCACTGCCGCTGCTGCTGTGCGAGAGATCCATCGAAATGTCGGATATATCCAACATGGTCATGTGTTTTTGTTTGTTGTGGATGGGATTGTCAAAAGGTGCTTTTGTGCAAGGTTGGTTGGACAAGCGCTATCAAAGGCGATGAGCATGTTCTTGAGCTGTTTTGGGTTTTACAGGTTTTTACGAGCTGTTCAAGCTGCTTGCAGCTTTCGACCAAGATGGACCGCTCCTAATGTGACGCGTCGTCAAATGACTGTGGAAGCTGAACAGGCACCCAAATTCTCCTCTGACGAAGGCCAATGTTAAATCTTTGCCGCAGCTCTGAGAACATCGAGCCTTTTCATAGTCACGCACAAGGCAGCCACAAATTATTACGAGTAACCAAGACGCGAAAATGATGGTGGTAATAAACAATCGGCGTACACGTACCCGTACGGTAGTGTTGTGCGCATGACTCCGCATGCATGAAGGAACAGGATGATCTCACGAAATCTGGCTGCAAGTCTTGTACGGTACCAGTAGTAGGGAGGATGAGTATCTTGCAGGACTCTCTGGATAGTCCTAACCCGTCCTCTGGTGAAGGACTCTCTGGGTGGCACATCGGAATGAATGGCGTTTATGGTCTGGCCGTCGCCGCCTCCCTCAATCTTGCTTTTTGTTCCACGTGTAAGCAAATTAGACGACAAAAGCGCTGCTACTGTTTATTCATTTACTGCTACAGATCGACTGTACGTAACCAAGATGATAAAGCGACGGCAATAGCCGCTGTCATCCACACTAGGAATCAGCTGATAGCAGGCAGCCAGCCTTCAACAAAGGTGCTGCTATCTACCAGCCAGAGGTTGGCTGTTCGTAGACACATGCTCAGCATTGGTGAGGTTGGTTTTTGTTGGCTGATTTCCCAGTTTCGAAGTTTCGAAGTTTCGGCCCCAAGTTTGCCGCGGCTTTTGTGTGAACAATGACCATGGGTTCTGCAAGACAATGGAGCCTTTACTCCACTTGCTTCATATGCAAGGAAGGTCTACGCCATGAGGAGCTTGCTGTCTCCGTTCCGGAGCTCCAAGAGAGGCAAAGAAAACAATGGGGTTGAAACTCCGTCACTGAAAAGCCCAACTCCCAAGAGACCTGCCAGATTTCATTCGCCGCCGCTTGTCCAGAATGCTCTGAACAAAAGTCCGACGCAGCAACAAGTTTCTCGATCACTCTTTGGCAGTGCCGAACAAATCGTAGCCCCGGAATTGATCAATGAGAAACCTGCAACTCGAGATGCATCCACCCAAACAATCAACGTACCTGCTTTGAGCTTTGAGGATGAGCTAGATCGGAAGGATCCCGGGAGGGAACTGCAGTTGCTTGTTTCAAGGACTCTCCATGTACTCGCCAACAACCAAAAAAGCAAGCATCTGGCCAAGCTTTCTCTTCGGAATCGGGTGGAAAAATACTTCAGACTTCCAAATTCTCGAACGCGTGCAGCGAAGGATTTGACAAAGCAAGCGACACAACAAGCAGTGGCCCAGAGTAAACTTCTTGGTGAGCTGTTTGAACATCTCTTCACGAGCAATTCACAAGCTACCAGAGCTCTTGATTTGGTTGCTCCAACCTATGACTTTGCTGTGATTCCAGAAGCCACCACGAGCAGCATGACTATTGCACAAGCTGTGGCATTTCGAGATCGTATTCCAACAACCACAAATGGTCTCTACCGTGCTGCCACTGGACTTGCGGATATTCAACCTGTTGTGGGGAAGCTGCTCTTTCAAAAACAGCTTAAGCTCAGAGTGAAAGAATATGAACGCTGCAATCTGGAGATTACTCTTGGCTACGAAATGGTTCCACTAGAAATGGGAGGCGAGAAGAATCTTTCGAAGCCATGCTTGCATGTTTGGGTGAAAAACCCACCAGTCATCATTGAAGGGCTTACCAAGAGTGCGCTCGTCTCTGGAAAATTCCGAAACTCGAGTGATATCTCAAAACACAACAACAAGATAATGGTCGTTCAAGGCTCCGACAAAGGAGGCTGTCTCACAGTCAATCTACTCAGAATCGCCAACAGAATCGATGGCAATGCTCCTGCATATTGCTTTCCTACGGCCTTCTATGAAGACGCAAGAGAGAGCTATGCGAATCTTGCCTCCACTATCTTGAGCGAAGGAAAACCAACAAAACAGTTTCTCCAACACTTGGTGAGCGGCTTGTTCCATCTACTGACTGTTGCAGTCAGGGTGAAAGATGAAGTTGTCGATGTTGAGTGCTTGTGTCTCCACTTCATAGGTGTGAGTGCTCTTGGAGACGATCTACGGCTTGCGACTCATCTCGAACAAGATGCAGACTATCGTGAGCTTGCAAACGAGACGGAGGCAAAAGCCCGAGAGCAGCCAGCAACGATTCAATTGCAAGATTGTCACAGGGCTCGATATGAGTTGGCAATTCGACTGGTTGCAAAGGAGAAGGAACGCAACGGAAGAAACAACAGCGCCACACCCACAACCAAAACATATATTGGATTCCAGCTCTATCAGATTGTTCCAGGTGCTGCACGCTCAATGGTGCACATGGCAAGGTTTGCAGATGAACTTGTTCTCCCATCGAAGGGTGCACTAGAATTCAATATTGCTGGCATCCTTTGTTTCACATCGGACGACTTGAAGTTGAATACTTGTGTCCATGGGCAAGGCACCGCTTCAAGCAAACACCCTTGTCCGATCTGTATAGCAGACAAACATGGCTTCCTCTCATCACTTGTTGATCCATCCAAGCCACATCCCCTCCGCAAAGGGCAGTACGACAATTTTAAGCTCTATGAAAACTTCGAATCCGAGGCCAAAAGTCGAAAAACAAAGATTGCGTCTACCTCTGACAAGGCATCGATGGTGCATAAAACCAAGGCCAAGAGTGTCGTTCATAAGCCTCTTCTGGTAACACCACCAGATTTCAACGCTGGGGCATCAATGCACGTGTCTCAAGGCTTGATGACACACTTGACGAAAGCAATGCTAAATCTCTTGAAGGCCATCGACCGAAAGGCACACTGGCGGAAGCAACTCACAGTCATTATAAAGGACGCCAAGAACAAGCGTCCTTGGCTAGAAAACAAGCTAAACGATCTCTACAAGTGCGATCGTCAGTACGAAAGGAAGATCAAGGAAGCGACTCAGTGGTGCAACAACAACAGTGTTCCCGGTGTTGTTCGGCAGAAATGGATCGCGACGCAGCAGCAGTATCACGAAGAGAGAGAAAGCTTTGCAAAAGATAATGCAATTGCTGCTTGGGCTCACGTGCAACAATCCGCAGCCCTTTTCGTTGATAAAGGGGAGAAGTTCCTGAAAGATTCTGGATCAAGACCGGAAGGGGAGGCGAGCTACATGTTTCTCCAATCTTACCAGATCGATTGTGGTGTGCTCTTTCGAGTTGAAAACTCTGGCATTGAACTGACCAACGCCAATGGATTCCGTGTTCTTGCAAGAGCAGACGCTATAGCTAATCGTGTCGACACAGCATATAGCAACAACCCATCGCTTAATAGCGAGGCGAAAGCAATAATGTCAACTTGTTGGAGGCCGATGGCGAAGTTGCTATTGGAGATCTCTACCCTTTTAAAGCGGCAAGACAAACTCACCATTGAAGACATCTCTCGACTGAAGGAATGCTCTACTCAGTATGGCAAGCTCTGGACCCAACTTCCAAGCAGCACAGGAGGTGGGAGCGAACCAAGAGTGTTCAACAAGCTCCACACGTTGGTGGACCACATCACCTGCTTCGCAGAAAGGCACGCTTGCGTTGGTTTGGTCAACGAAGAAGGATTTGAAGCGACGCACCCAAGGCTTCATACGGTATCCAGCCATCTGAAGTGCATGGTGTCGACATCTGCACGGGCGGAGAAGATCGTACAAAGACTGTCGTTGGGTTTGAACGATGAGTATCAGGAAGCTGCAGTCGATCTAAAAGAGGCTCGTCTCCACCCTGAACTTCAGAACAAGCGTGGTGGTAAGAGCGACCTTGCACGAAAGCTGGACGACTCTATTGCTGTGCGTTCCGTGGCTGATTTGGAGATGCTTCCAAAGGAGCTGGCACACGTACTGGGAGGGACTGTTGTGCTGAAAGAATGGAAGGAGTATTATGAGTATCTTGTGTGTGGCCGTGTTCCTGCAGCTTTCTCAGCAATATTCCAATCAGATCCGTCGCTCGGAAGCGTGCAGAAGATCAAATCAGAGTTTGTTCATAACCATTGAACCAAGAACAACAATCTACAACCAGTCAGGCGTTTGTTTGTATTCGGCATTGGCAATCAAATAATGGATGTGTTGCGGTTACGGCTTACGGCGGTTAGTATTGGAAGCTTGGCCGTCTATCAATTCTTCAGATGAACGTCCACTGTTGAGAGCTCGTCGTCCCATCATCTTGATAGTAATTGTCTTGGCTAGAATCAGTTTGTGTCAGAATCGAGGGCAATCCAACGACAATCACGAGAAATGGAACGCGTATTATTGTTGTCAAGCAGCATCCTAAACAGCTATAGCACTGCAAGTCGACATGTTCCACCTTCTAGAAATTGAAGCCAACAAAACCATTGTTGGAGGCTACTTGTTGCTGTAGATTCCCATACAAAATAATACGTCTAGATAGTTGTTAGGGAGACTACTACAACGAGTGAGTGGAAATCGAGGTGTGCCACCACAAAACAGAGGCCATTGCGCCACTACCAGCTTCATTGTTCCTACAGATACCGGTCAAATTGTCATTGTCTCATTGTCTAATCCATTGTTTCAAGAGTAAACTCTGAGTGTGCTGTGCTGCTAGGAGATAACAAATCAACAACAGAAGGTGCGTCCGAGTCGATCTGACGAAACGAAGGGAGGGATGTCATCTCAGCGAGAACAGCCGTCATCCCAACTCTGCGAGGGGTCGTTTCAACATGAAACCTTGAGTACTTGCACGCAAGGATAACTTCAAGCTGTTCGCCGTGGATTGTCTTGATAATCAGGGAGCGCCGATCCATTGAGACGTAGGTTGTCTCTACATTCTCAAGATTGCAAAGAAATGTGTGAAGCTCCAAAGCCTGTTCTGGGGCAAGCATCTTGTTGTCGTCAAAGTACCAAACAAGAACTTCATTGCTCTCCTTTCGAGTTGCATGGGCAATACATTTCGATACCCTTGTGAGAAAAGCTTGGAGATCTTCAAGGGGACGGAGGCATTCCAGAGGTGGTCTGCAACAGGAAGCAGAATAGATCCCCCCTCCTTTCTCCTTGTAGTTGTACGGCATGAGGGCAGATGTTGTTGCTTTCGATGGAGGCTAATTGTGGCAACAACAGGACTTCATTCACTGCTAAATCAGAGCCGGCACAGTCAAAATATTTGACCCATTTTGAATCGGTGCTCCGGTTTCCAGACGAGTCCTTTCCTAATACAGGTACTGGACTTCAGCCTTGGCCAACAGCAGCAAGTAACAACAGATAATAAAGCAGTAGTAGTAACAATGCATGTAGGAGCAAGAGATAAAGGATCGATCGTCATGGTGTTAGTTGTTGTATTGCTTTACGTGTATGGTGGTTGTGCTTCAAAATATCGTGCTTCAAAATATCTCTATTAGAGTTAGAGATAGCCAAAAATGAGTTACGTGTTGTGGGGCGACGGCCAGACCATAAACGTGATATTGCACCATTCATTCCGATGTGGTGGAGGATAAGAGATAGGTCCTATCCGCCAAGCGGCTGTGCAGCTACAGTACTTGGCCGATTGATCTCTATTTGTATCCTTGTGTTTGGGATCAGTGCCGTTCAGGTGCTTGTGAAGACTACCCTGGTTGACACAGCGACAAGCCAGTTTTAGTTAGACAGCTCTTGGCCGTCCCACCACGAAAAAGAAGAGCAGCGAGAAGCAATGTAGAAAGAGCGAGTGTGCGTACTTTTAATCATTTTGTGCGATGTGCGGTTGACAACAATGTCATGATGAGAAGCACACAACAGAACAGAAGATCCAAGAAAAAGAAAAAGAACAACTCATTTTAGTTTATTACCATGGGAACTACTGCAGGAAAGAACGTGGGCGATGGCACCTATCGACGCAAGGCATATCATGCTGGATCTTGGTATGAAGACGATAAGCAGGCGCTGGGTCAAACGCTGCAGGGGTATCTGGATGCAGCTGCTTCCGAAATTAGCAACAGCAGCAGCCACAACAACGTTCGGGCGGTGATTGCACCTCATGCGGGATATCGGTACAGTGGTCCTACGGCAGCGTATGGGTATCTGCAGTTGGAACGGGCACTGAATAGTTCTACCGATCATCCCTGCGAACACATTTTGGTCCTCCATCCGGCTCATCACGTCTATCTACAAGGATGTGCCGTGTCGGGGGCTAGCGAACTGGAAACTCCACTGGGAAATCTACCCGTCGATGACGAATTACGAAAGGAAATCTTGGCATTATCCTCCAAGTTCACTGTCATGGATGCCAGTACGGACAATGAAGAACACAGTGGCGAAATGCAATACCCGTACTTGGCCAAAATTCTCTTGTCCATGAAGCAGCCTCCTTCCGTATTACCAATCATGTGTGGTGCCTTGTCCACGTTTCAAGAAGAATTGTTTGGAAACCTGCTGGCACCCATTATTGCCAGACCCAATGTCGTGTGCGTCATTTCCTCCGATTTTTGCCATTGGGGGTCTCGGTTTCGTTATCAACCCATCAGTAAGGACGGCAGTATCCCCATTCATCAATTCATTCAAGAAATGGATCATCGGGGGATGGATCTCATTGCTATGAAAGAACCCGGAGCCTTTGCCGAATACTTGAAAAAGACCAAGAATACCATTTGCGGGAGACATGCCATTGCCGTGTGGCTTCAAGCCATTGCCAGCAAGGACCATTCGGGATTGACCGTCAACTTTGTCAAGTATGCACAGAGCAGTGCAGTAAAAACGATGCAAGACAGCAGTGTTAGTTATGCCAGCGCCGTCGTGATGGCGTCCACGGCTTGATTTTATTCAAGTGGAACAGTGTAGGCAGGAGCATGATACCCTTGCCTTTGGGATGCCCTCGTAGGAAAGAAGGTTCAATGTGTCAAACAGCCTTTGGCTAACACTCAACGCTCTTACAAAATCTGATCAAACGAATGAGCAAAGTTATTCAAAACTTGGGCTTTGGTAAATTGGCACTGCTAAAGAAGGTTGTCGGGCTACATTTCCATTCCTCAAAAGTCTCTTGCACCTCTAGCTAGCTACATGAGCCAGGTAGGTACCTGGTGGTATTGTTGATGTTGCTTGAATGGCAAACAGACCAGAGCCCCCGATTGAAACGTCCACTGTAGCAATTCGAAGGAACGGTTGCATTTGCTATAGAATCTTAGCAAACGCAAAATTGACGTGTTGTCTGGGTTGATTTGGGCGCGTTCAAATATTTGCACACTAGACTACTATCCATCAGCAGGGACGGTAGCCTCAAGACTGAACCACCATGCGGGTAGCCTCCTTTTCCAAGTCCTCCTCGCAACTATTCGAGGCAAAACTAGAAACTCTGCTTCACTCGATGTAGCAGTCTTCATTCCATCAGTCCACTGCACCACACACTATCGATAGAAGAGAGAGAGCGAGCCCCTTTCTCGTACCGCTAGGGGTACTACTGGCCATGCATAGTATCCAACCAACTCATTCGTACCGCAGCCGGCTTTGCTGCACTCGAGCCACTACTATCTAGCTTTCTTGATAACCTTTTCGTGCAGCACTTCACTGTGTGTCAAATGCTCCGTTCAGCTAGCTCGTTGCGTGCAAGTCCCGTCTTGTCACGACGGGTATTTGGCCAACCGTTGCTGGTATCTTGAGCCGCTGAAGGACCGTTGTTGCGGAAAGTGTAGATTTGCTACCGGGTGCACCATGCGCGTGGGGGTAACAGTCTGTTTTTCTCGACATTTTTGTGCTCGTCGAGATGCAGAACGCCAAAAAAACTTTGATGGATACAACCCAAACCTCGATGGACTCTGCTGTTTGTGAGAGATGACTATGAGAAGGATCAATGAGCCATTTACTGCATGGTTCCAACACCAGCTCATTCTCAAAAAGCCACCAGAGATCGGAGGCAGCAATTACAACCAGGAATATTTAAGTTCGACAGATCAACATGACGATGCTACGGGTTATCCCAGTATTGCTATTGCTTGTTCAATTGTTGGCCATCGCTAGTGCAGGTACTGTTCGAGGAGTGCAGCAAGATGGCATCACAACAGTTAGTCTCAGACAACGTCGACTCATGAAGGAAATGGGAGGAAAGGACACGAGTGATGATGAGGGGGGGGAATATGAAAGCTATGAAGAGGAGGAGGAGGAAGAATACGAGGAAGAAGAGGAAGAGGAAGAAGAATATGAGGAAGCAGAGTACGAATCCGTGGAAGAGTCCAAAAAGGGAGGTATGCAGAAAGGTGGTATGGCAGGTGCATCTGTACCCAAGGGCAGCATGATGGCAGGTGAATCTGAGTCATCTGAGCCCTACGGAGGCATGATGTCGGGTGCTTCTGTGCCAAAGGGTAGCATGAACAAGGGTATGACAGTATCCGCTACTGTTGGCACCATGGGCGGCAATGGCAAGTCTGGTAAGGCAAAGGGGCAGCCCAAAGATGCCAAGAAGCAAAAGAAGGTCCAGGATATGGCCATGATGAACAAACTTGCCAAGGAAGGCTACTCTGGCGCGAAAGGAGGTATGACTTCCATGGAAAGCGACTCCACTGACTCTGTCTCCAAAAAAGGCTCGATGGGTGGCGGCGTGAAAGGAGGCATGAAGGTTTCAGCAACAGTAGGATCCGCGGTGAAAGCAGGTGGCAAGATGGAAGCTGGCGCAAAGTCGCAACCCAAGGATGCCGGAAAGAAACAAAAGAAGACAACGGTGAAGACAATGATGAACAAGCTCGCTATGAATGGTGGCATGGTTGTCGAGGGATCTGGCGATGAGCCTGCTGAACCATTTTCGGTTGAAGAGCCCATGCCAACCGATGCTCCAACGTTCAGTGATGCCCCGCCTGGCAGTGATCGTGACGAATACGGATGTATCCCCTCTGCTGGATATACATGGTGCCCTGAGCTGGAAGAGTGTATTTCTTTTGCCGACGAGTGTCCTGTAGATGGGGAAGAGTTCGAGGGACCGACCACTATTGTTTGTGATGCTGACATGAGATGCAGCGTGAGTGAAGAATGCACTATTGATATGGGAGACTACACCATTGGTGGTCCATACATCACAGGAATCGAAGGGGCTTTGGAGCTTCCTGAAGGCTGCGACGCCAACTGCCTGGGTTGCTCGGAAGAAGAATCGGAAGACCCAGAAGAAATCTCCTCGCCGGACCCAGAAGAAATCTCGCCGGACCCAGAATTCCCGACATTTGCTCCTGTCGCGGAAATCGAGCCGACAATGGCACCATCTTTTCCAGATGAGCCCGTCGTGGAAACAGCCGAACCAACTCCAGTCATGGATGCCCCTGAACCAACTGCTGCACCCACTATTCTTGAAGTACCCGTAACGCCCGGACCCACCATTCTTGAAGTACCCGAAATGCCCGCCCCAACGTTCCCAATAGAAGAAACGACGGCTCCGACATTTGGTACTGAAATAGATCTCCCAGACGATGCCTCTTTGGTACTCGTAAACTTCACGTTGCAGTTTGGATTCTTCGCAGATGCAATTGTTACAGAGCCAACAGATGATGACCTGGATGCGCTTACGGTTCAGGTTGAGATGTTCTACACCGACCTGCTTGCAAATACCAGTGACGATTTTTTTGCTTTCGAAGCCTTTGGTATGTATCATGGTCCATCAAGCAATCACTTACCCGCTGGACCTCACTCACTGTTTTCGTGCCGCGAACCTTTTTTACAGTTGCGGACAGTGAATTTGACGAAGACGCAGTTTTCCCTGTCACTGTTCACTATGAAGGAGTGGCTATTTTTGAGGGCGAAGAAGCTCCCAGTGCAGTGGAACTACTATCAGCAATGGAGGCTGGGGACTACCAAAAGTTTATCACAGACTATGTCTGGGAGGCCAACTCAGTTTTGTTCTTTGATACTCAGAGCGTATTTTTCACATCTGCACTAGACGATGGACCAATCTATCAGTTGCCTACAGTAGGCCCTGAGGAACCCGAGATTCCACCATCATCAGCGCCTTTGGAAGAAACCGACGCACCGACAGTTGCATCCACAGCTGCTGAAACAGATGCACCCACCGTTGCATCCACAGCTGCCGAAACTGAAGAAAGAGAAGCTGAAACTGATGCCCCTGAAGTACCAGTAGACACTGACGCTCCTGGATTGCCAGTAGTGACGGATGCACCAGAAACCGATCCTCCAGCCCCAGACACAGAGGCTCCAGTTGTAGAAACCGATGCTCCAGAGACGGAACCTCCGGTGGAGGAGACCGATGCCCCAGAGACTGAACCTCCAGCTGTGGAAACTGATGCCCCAGAAACAGAGCCTCCAGCGGAAGACACGGATGCTCCAATTGAAGTGACGGATGCACCTGAAACTGAGATCCCAGCTGTCCTCCCAGAGCCAGAAGTGACGGAACCACCTTTGGTAGTGACTGAACCACCTTTGGTAGCGACTGATGGTCCTATTGAAGTGACCGAGGCTCCAATGGAAGAGACAGGTGCTCCAGTTTTGGAAACTGAGGCACCAATGGAAGTGACAGAGGCTCCAATGGAAGTGACTGAGGCTCCAATGGAAGTGACTGATGCACCTGAACTACCAGAGCCAGACGTGACTGAACCACCTTTGGTAGTGACGGAACCACCTTTGGTAGTGACTGAACCACCTGCTGAAGAGACGGGTGCCCCCGCAGAGGTAACGGGCGCTCCTGAGGAGGGTGAGGCCACAGAAACTCCAGATGATGGCATGACTGGGGCCCCAGAAGGAATCATGACTCTCCCCGCCGAGGTGGAAGAAGATAGCTCGCGTGTTTTGCAGGCTTCCATGGACTTTGGATTCTTTGAAGGCACAGAAGTCCGCCAGCCCACACCGGAAGAAGTTGATGGACTGGTGGTACAAATCAACAATTTCTACACAGATGTCTTGGACGAAAGCTTTGAAAACTTTGCGACCTTTGAGGCCAATGGTACGTTTTGTAGAAACTTGTGCGACGCGGCCATAATATATGAAACATGCTCCGTGAACGAATCCGCCTCACAAAATTTCTTTTCTTTGCTTCTTTTCCTTTTTAATATTTAGTGGTCAACACAACATTTTTCAATGAAACGGTGGGCGTGGACTTTGATGCTTTTGCCTTTTTCGAGCCAGGTACCGAAGCACCATCGCCATTTGAAGTGCTGTCTGTCATGGAAAGCGGGGACTACACGGAGTTTATCACCGCATACGTGTGGAATGTTACCATGGACAGCATTTTTTACCAAACTCAGAGCGTGCAATTCTACGCAAGGATCTAGTATGGTAGTGCCATTCAGCCACTGTGAAATCAATGATGGCTGGGAAAATATTTTGACTGTGAGAATGAATGAATCGATGTGCATTAGGCGGCGAATGTCTGAAAGCCAGTAGAGATTTGTGGATGCGATTGCTTGTAGCACCGTTATATATATCATACAGTAAAAGCAAATTTATCTGTGCCTTATCTTTGTGGGCGGGCATCAAGCGCTACTACGGTACGTACCGGTACCGGTATGGTTGCGTGCTGGCTAGTCAGTACCGTAGGTAGTGGATGCCACCGTCCCGGAAGGATCGAACGTGATTTGCTCATTTAATTAATAAAAACTGTATGTCTCTGTGGATCTCACAAAAGTCAAGCCCATTGGCCCCCATGTGGTCCTCAATTTGTTGCCACTGATCCCGTCGAACCTTGCTAGGGTCCCAAATTCCACCTCTTCTTTGCCTAACTAAGCCTGCCCCCCACTACCGGTAGCTTCCAATCGCTACTTACTGTACCACATTCGTTATAGCCTTCAGTACCGGTAGCCCCCACGCTACACGCCCGCCCTCCCCACGCTGGACAGCATACCCTCCAAAGTCAATACTAATAGTACTGTACCGGTCGTAGCGGTATCATACCGTGTCAAGTCAAACACCACAAAAAGGAAGAGCAAGGAGAGGCAAGAGCTATTGCACGGTGCAGGAACTTGGACAATGACCAATCTTGCTTTAGTAAAGAGCGCGTCGTCTTCACGAGACAAGGAACTGCCATTGGACGATCGTGCTTCCTGCGGAAGCACTGTCTTTATCCCACTAGAAACTACGGTGGATAAGCTCAAACAGATCGTGTACAATAAGAAAGGTGCTGCTACATTCATACGCGCCCCTGTCGCGGCCGGAAAGACTACGCTTGCCAAGTACCTGGCCACTTCTCACAGTGACGAATTCGTTTTGGCAGAAGTGGACCGAAGATAGGGGGATATCCGCAACAATATTATTGATGCGATTTGTAGCAGCTTGGGGGCGGAGAGGTCGTCCACGTTGACAGTCAAGAATTCTCTAAAGGAACTTGCTAAGGCCAAGAAGACGCTTATCCTGGATGAGGCGCACTTAATTTTTGCACATTCAGAGCTAATCGAGGATCTCTTCAAGCTACCACAGCATTGGGTTGGTATTCCCCAACCCAAGGTTCTACTCTTTTCAGCGGCTGCCACGACACAGGACAGAGACGGCAATTCCTATGTGACCCCTTCCCAAATTTCTAAAAAGTACATGTGGTATCCACCTACCGGTATACCAGACGGAGTACGAATAACAGAGGATCTCAGATCGGCTGAAGTCTATTTGACTCCTGAGTCTGTCGACTTCTTCATGAAAATCTGCTCCGGCCATCGAGGTATTTTCATGGCTGCGATGAATTGGGTTCAGGATTGTCAAGGTGAAGATGGAGTTGCTGAAGAATCCACCTGGGACATCCACGAAAGTGTTGCTAGGGTTAGGCAGTCATTCGAAGTAAGTAGAAAGGAGGGTAATGGGGGTTGGAATACGGGTCTGCGAAAATTCTTGAAGATGTCACGCGCGGTCCATGTATACGGCAGGTTCAGCGAGTGCAGTAATATCCCTGAAACATTTACAGAGGTTCTCTTTGGGGGCTCAAAATCGAAGAAGGAACTTCGTGGTCAGGATCGGGAACCAACAGTCAACGGATTCTTGGTACCGGAGCGCAGCAGTGCTGCTGATGCGTTTGTGTTGTGCAATTGGGAAGATTCGACAAAGTTGTACGGGGTAGCAAACTCTCTCATGGCAGAATATTATGGCGACATACTCCCAAGTGAGGTTGGATGTGAGAGACAATTGAATGGGGGGGGGACCCTCGCCGTGGCGCCGACATGGTCGTACGGGCCCTTCCTTTCATGTCGTTTGCCACCGTCATTGACAATCCAATCCCTACGAAAGATGGGAAGCTCAATACCCCCCTGTCCCAGTCCAGTGACAAGCTTCCTTTCGAGGACGACTATAACGATGCTTTTGCCAAAATTCTACGAGACGAGTTGCACTACACTGTTTCAACCCCTAAAGGCACAACCAGAGGAAAAACTGATTTCGTTGTAACCTACGCCGACAACAAGACTTGCGCCCTCGAGTCCATCATGACGCCTGTACAGGATCAGGTGGGTATTCTTTGTTTTTGACATTCTTGTCTTTGTCTTGCTTGTTGGACTGAAATTCTGATTCTCACAAAAAATCCTTTTGAACCTCATAAACGGGTCACGATAAGCATGCTGAACGCTTCAGAAAGCCCAAGTTAACAAATTACAGTGACGCAACGCTAAAGGCGCTTATCACGATTGGCTCAAAAAGAGACAAAGTTAAAGAGCGCGTTGCAAGCACAGCAGGCATGAAAGGCCTTGAATTCATCGGTTTGGTTGTTTCAGCAGCGCACGACTGTTATGAAATGTACGTGAGACTTGACTCTTTGGAACAGGAAATCTTGGGGCCGTTCCTTGTGATTTGCGACCGCGTTGCCAAGGCAGTCGTTTCAAAAATCCAAAGATGGCGTTTATCGCATCATCCCAGCGCAGCAGTTGTCGCCATCGAAGAAGAGAGGTCATGAGATGAGCATTGGCTAAACAGAGGCCAGCGTCAACTGAGCAGATTGACTTTTTATACCGCGTGGGTTAGATCAGCGAGAGATAGCGAGAGTGAGAGATCGACTGTTGTAATCATTTGACCCAGTCCTGATCTGACATCATCCATTCCCTTAGTCTGCATTAGAAGCCGAACCTCGATGATAAAACTCCCACATTTTTCGCACTAGTCTAGTCGCTTAGAAACTAGCAAACGAAACATCCTGCCCCTACTGTATCGGGTTAAACAGCTCTCTGGACCCCTCTAACTATGAGCCACAAAAGAGTGGGACGGCATCGAAGGTCCATTTGACTCCCGAGATCCCGGAGCACCACCTGCAGACTTTCAATTGAGCCGTTAGGAAGATTCAGTCACGATCGACCACGAGCCCCTTCGAAAGGTTGCAATGCTGCCACACCAACCGATTTGCACCAAGGCATTGCACCAATCGTCCCACTTATCCACTTATCATCACAGTCATCCCCTTGTTCTCTCCCGGACCATTGAACTAGAGAAATAGGTTTCTGTTCCATTGTCTTGAAAAGAGAGAAAAAAGAGAGAAAAACAGCACCATGTTTGGTGGTTTGGAAATCAAAGGCGGAGACGCCAAAAAGGAGCCCAAGTCAGCAGCTCCAGCACCAGCACCCGATGCCGGCAGTGGTTTTTCCTTTCTCAATCCAGCTCCAGCGGCACCCGCTCCTGCTCCTCCAGCAGCAGCAGCAGCAGTTGGCTCTGGATTTTCCTTTTTGAATGCGACTCCAGCTGCCTCGGAACCTGCACCAGCACCTCCCGCTTCGAGTGCTTTTTCCTTTATGCAACCCGCCACATCGGCACCAGCTCCTGCCGATGCTACTACTACTGCTGCTGAAAAGCCCCCAGAAGCCCCCGCTACGGAAACAACCTCGGATGCCGCTGGATCTGGCTTTAGTTTCTTGGCGGGAGCCACACCAGCCCCAACCGAACCTCCCAAGACGGAGGAGTCAGCAGCTCCCGAGTCCAATGTTTCCAGTGCCTTTTCCTTTTTGTCGAGTACGAGTACTCCAGCTCCTGAACCGCCTGCGACGGGAAGTTTACTCGACATGACGGCTCCAGCAACTACTACTACTACCCCAGCCAAAACAAATAATGCCTTTGCTGCTGCCGCCCCAACAACAACCAACTTTGCTCCTCCTGCCGGTGTCGGAATTTCCTTTGGAGGAGCTACCGTCAATAGCAATCGTCCCAAGAAAAAGAAAAATAGAGCCATGAAAGTAGGTGTTGGAGGAGGAGGTGCTGCTGTGGCTACTACAACATCCGGACTTCCAGCTCCCTCGGAATTACCCGAACCATCGGCTATACCAGAAATACCTGCCAGCAATAGCAATACACGGGAAGATGCTTTGGAGGCGAGTCGTCGTGCCGAAGAATTTATGAATCAAAAAATGAAGGAACAGGCTACTGTTGTCGAAACAACCGATGCAACCGCCAAAAACCCAGAAGCTCCGGCAGAATACGATGACGAAATGATTGCGGCTGCAGCGGCGGCTGCCGTCGAAGCACAAGCCATGAATCAAGCAAAGAATCAAAAAGCAACTGCCGGAGGAGCTCGTGGCCTCATGGGTGGTTTGTTTCGAAGAGCCAGTCCTCCCACATCGAGCAGCAACTTGAATGCTGGTGGTACTAGCAGTAAGCCGGGGTCCTTTACCAGCACTGGCGGAGGACCTCGGCCTCCCAAACCTGCCGTGGACGTCGCAAAACCTTCCAGTGCCCACAGTTTGTCGTCTGACGAAGGAAAGCCACCCAGACCCACCGACACACCGGCTGCACCCGTATATTCTGCAGCAGAAGCAGCTACCCAGCCAAAACCACCCCCCACGGCACCTACTACGTTTTCAGCGCCACCTCCATTGCCACCCAGACCCGTGCAGCCACAACAACAACAAAAGCCAGAACCACCCAAAATTAAAACTCCACAGGAATTGCTCAGTAACATGCTCAGTGTGTTCCGACTCAATGTGGAAACTTCCATGGGCAAGGTAACACAGCTGCGACAACAGCGTACACGATTGCTGGAAGAACGAACCAGAGCCTTGACGCAGGAGCGTCTGGCCACGCAACAACGAGATTTGACCGAACAGCAATTGACGGCTGCGGCAGAAGCAGAAGATTACGAATTGGCGGATCAACTCGGAGGCGTCTTGAGCAATTACGAAAAGGAACAAAAAGAATGTGCGAGTATGCGGGAACACATTGACATGGCCATTCAAGAATTGGATTCGCAAAAACAAATTGTAGTGCAGGGTGTCTTGCAATGTTTTCAAACCATGCAAACACAATTGGAAACCTTTGAATCTACGCAACAAACAAAGGAGCACCAGGAGGACGACACTGCCATGAAGAAGTTTGCTTCCATGACAAAGCATCTGGCACAAGAACACGAACGGCTGCAGCAAGATTTGAAACATTTGGAGCGAGACGAAGAATTGGTGACAGAAGAACGAAAGGAAGTGGAAACTGCCATTTCCGAGCAATCCTGCGACTTTGAAAAGCAACGCGACGAAGCCAAGGAGAAATTAGCAGTGGCCGATGAAGAACTGGAGGAATTACGAAGGAAGCTTGAGGCCAAGAATGCCGAAGCCACACAATTGCGCAACGAAATTGCTGGTCACGACGACAGTATCCTGCAAGTCCGTGTTCAGTTTTCGAGGCAGTTGCAGCGAGTCCAAAAGAAAGAGACCACCGTCAAAGACCACCGCACTGAATGGGAAGCAGAAAAGGCAACTTTCCAAGCCGAAAAGGACAATCATGAAGCCGAAGTGAAGGCTCACTCAGATGCAATCGAAAGACACGAGAAATTGATGGCTTCCCTCAAAGATGAGATTGCATTGGCCGGAAAGTTGGAGAAGATTGTCGAGCATGAAGTGGGAGCGGAAGTTTCAACGTCGGAAGAGGATGGCGCCGATGATGCCGTCGACAGTGACATCCTTGGCTTACAGGCAGAAGTTGTCAAGTGTGAAGCAGCGGTCACAGAGGCCAAGGAGGTGCTCAAAGTGGCGACAACAACGCTCGCGAATCTAGAAACGGAGATGGCTGGATTGATTGCCAAGATTCCCGATCTCGAGGCTGTCAAGAAGGCAGCTGCCGCGAAACGGGATTTCAAGGTAGCAGGAAAAGCGTCCAAAGAAATTAAAGACGCCACGGCACGAGTCAAAGAATGCCAAGAAGAGCTCACTGGGGAAGCTGTGGACCGCAAAGAGACGGCCGAGAAGGAGCTAGCCAAGCTCGAAGAAGAACTGACTGCAAAACGAAAGGTTGCACTCGAGCAGGAAAAGGAAACCGGCGTGGCAACGATGAAGAAGCTGGCAGAACGCATTGAAAAGCTTGTCGAAACGAAAAAGCAAGTCTGTGGCGATGATTACGAACCTAATAGAATGCAGGGTGTGGGTGCCTATGTTCTGGAAGAGCAAATCAAGTCGTTGACTTTGGAAGGCAAATCATACGGGGAGAAGTATGGTGGATGGGAGGAATTGATTGCCAAAGTCCTGCCGTCGGAAGGAGGGGGCGACGCAACTGCTACAGCAGAATCCGACAAACCAGTCGAAGAACAACCTGTACAGGAGACCGATGCTGCTACCACAGGTGAACCAGAAAAGCCCAAAGCTTCCAAGAAAGAAATGAAGGCAAGCTTTAGACGGCTTACGCTAGAGTTGAAAGAAATTGAAGCGAAAATCGAGGCTGCTGTCGCAGATGAGGACTTCGACGTGGCAGCAGACTTGGATGAGAAATTGCAACAGTTGTTGGCTGATGTCCAAGCACTGGACTTGACAGACGCTGAAATGGAACAAGCGTTGGCTGGAGACGACAACGACGAAAGCGATGAACCTGCAGTCCCCACAGCAGCAAGTGAGGTGGAGGCCGAAACAGATGAAGCAGTGGCAGATGCGGAGCCATCGGAAGAGAAGCAACCACCCCAGGAAGAAATGGGAAAAGAGGACGACGAGGACAAGCCGTCGTCCGGGGATGACAAGGTAGAAGCCACTCCAGCCGAAGAAGACGACAAGGAAGCCGAAAAGGATGACACCGACCTCAATGACGGTTTCGTTGCTGTTAGTCCGGATGTATAGTTATAGAACCATTTCTATTCTTCTAGTAGGCTAGTTCGGTAGCTTTGCAATTTACTGTCCACCACCAGGAATGCTGGTTGTAATTCCACATCAAAGCAAAACGGCACGAATTGCTGGGGTTGACGTCTGAGGACTCTATTATACACTGAAGATGCGGATGCATGCAATTTGAACGAGAATGACAACCGTGCAGGTATCCTGCTACCTGGTACCAGTTTCTGAGAACCAAAAGAACAGAATTCGTGGCTCATTCTGCAAGCCCTTCTGATCTCTGGACCAAGGGGTCAGAGCTCGTCTGTTGCTATAATGTATAATGTGAGGACAATCTCGACGCTGTTCCTGACAATGAAGAGGCAGCGTGGATCAAGGCATGTCTTGGACACGGCAATGTGCGCAACGTGGGTACTTTGTAGTACTGCACCATGGTACCGCTTTCAAAATTCTGGCAACGGTACCGGTACCGGTATGGTTCGGTAGGGCGTGTAAGAGCCAATTGCGCTGGCTTTTCTACGGAAGCTCTCAGCCTATTTTGTCATTGTTGCCGAACCTTCTCTCCTTCCTTCCCACTACAAATATATAGAGCTACCGGTAGTATAACACCCCCATGGCGTCGCTTCAGGGCAATGTGTTGGTGATTCCTTTGCCGAGCTTACCCAATCAGAGTCTCGGCATCTTGATAGATACGAGTTACCTAGAGCAGGAGAATACCGGCACCGCTCCTTATCCCACCGTCATTTCCGTTCACAATTATTCTGTTCTCCGCGATCAAGTGCAACCTGGCGATGTGCTCATGAGCCTGGGTTCCCGTAATCTGTTGGGTGTCTCGTTGAGACAAATCCGTGAAACAGTAACGAGCAATGTTGGTGGTTCTTTGGTTGTGCTACGTCCGAATGGTTCCAGCACTGGATCTGCTACAATGACGCCAACAACAACTGCTACCATACCAGAGAGTGCCCGTAAAATCCCACCAAATGACCCGAGCCAAGCAACGCAAAACGATAGCACTCCAACTGTTCCATCCAATGCAGCTTCAGTACCGCCAGTAGCAGCAAAAGTAACCCCTGCAGCGAGAGATACCCCTACCGGTAAAAAGGACGATGTCATTGAACTTTTGAGCTCTTCTTCAGATGAAGAGGATACAATTACAGGCATAAAAACTTGTGGAGGCACCTCTAATAAGGTTACTGCAACCATGAAGCACGAAAATGTTGGTGATGAAATTCTGTTGGCGGAACAAAATGCGACGAAGCGCATTAAACAAGAGGGCAACTCATCCAACGCAGAAATCAGTCCTTTGCCCACCAAAACTGCATCTACAGTACTGCCAGAGACGCTTTCAATTCCACCAACTCTTTTTTCACAAGGAAAAGCCAAGTTTCCTCTCACCATAGATACTCAATTCACTGGAAAGCTCGGCAACGCAGTGGCTACATCTCCCTCAAAGAAATCCCATTAAACAGAGATGCAAGGGGCTCTGCAGCCTCACTTGCCCTCCTCTGGCCAAAGGAGACGCCGGTTCCCAATATTGATGGAGCATTCTACGAAGAATTGCACACTGCAAGTGGTAATACACGCAAAAAGCGAAGTGTCAAAACATGGTCGAGGGTCGCTCGTTTGGCAGGAACCTTCAAAGTACAGGTGCAACACAACGAAGGTTTTGTATCGGAAATTTGCAATAATACCACTGAACTTGTCCGCTATGTCCTGGCAGAAGACCTTTTGAAAGCACAGAGCGAAAACCCCGATCGTCTCATCTTCTCCCAGAAAGCCTGTGACATCCTCTCAGCCATCAGTAACTTGAATGACCTGCAGAATCCTTTCCAGGAGCGCTGCGTTTACGCAATTGCCGAAGCACCTTCACCAAAATTTGAGACCCCACCAGTAGTAGCAGAGCTGAAGTTCTACGTCTACTTTAGGAGAGCTCTCTTTGGTCTCGCTGCCAACGCCAATATCACAACACTATTGGATGCTCTCGCACCCAATGATACCGAGAACAACATGTGGGTTCCCTGTCGGCAAGTTCCAATGTCTACCAATCAATATGAAAGGAGCGATCGCCCCACGGATGGGTCAAAACGAGCAGAGCGTCAATTTGAATACTCACTTGCCGGGTTGCTTTGGCATACGGAAAGCACCGGCTATCCTCTGTCCAGCGCCGTCGCGGACAGGGACTATCAAGGCGTGAACGTTGAGCTCCGTGACTATCAAAAGGAGAGTGTATCCTGGATGATTGATCAAGAGAATCGTGATAGAACGAAAACGGGAGGCGGCGTTGCAGGGTTAAACGGATATTTCTGGGAACGACGGACACTTGAAGACGGTGAGGAGTTTTTTTACTTTCCGCTTGGCGGACAAATTTTGTTGAATCCTCCACCTATCGCCACTGGAGGATTGCTGGCAGAAGAGATGGGGCTCGGGAAGACAGTGATCACGCTAGAGGTTTGTAGCCCGGCAGCTATGTTTGTTGTCCTGTTGCGTCCCAATGCTTACAACCACTTGTCTCCCCGTTGCAGCTCATTTGCTCCGACGTGAAATCCAAGCCCCCAAACAGAGGTGGAACACTTTGTGTTTTGCCAGTATCACTGCTCAGCCAATGGGAGGAAGAGATTTCCAGCAAGGCGAACCATCTCTCTGTTTTCGTCTACAATGGCGACAGCGCCCGCGATTTGCACGAGAAACATCGATCAATGGTTGCAGTGGCGAAGGAGCTATCCCAGTTTGACATTATCCTCGCAACTATGAGCAAGCTGAAGGAACTTACGGCTCAACGAAACACAAACAATCAACGAAACCCAAACGCGCTAGGACATGTCAAATTTCACCGCCTAGTCGTTGACGAAGCCCAATTCCTGAAAAATGATACAACGGCAATTGCCAAAGCAGCCGCTGCGATTAATGCCACACACATATGGATGCTCTCAGGAACTCCCCTCACTAACAAGCTCGATGACCTACGGGGAGAGCTCAGCCTGCTTCACGTGTGGCCATTTACCCTGGGAACGCAAACAGACACGGGTTGGCAAGATTGGTTCTGGCAAGAAGCAATCAGCAGGCAATGGAACGAAAAGACTGGGTTGGCCAATCCAATTCTGCATAAACTGATGTCAGCGGTTGCGTTTCGACACAGCCGGATGCAGAATCGACGAGTTGACGGTTCCCCCCTTGTGGAACTTCCTCCAAGAACCGAAGAATTTGTTGCGATCACCGAAGACTCGTCGAGTTCGTACTCTTACATCAATTGTTTCGTCGCAGCTATGGCCGTGAAAATCTTACGACGCTTTGACCGATTCGATGTTCGAGTAACTGGATTCATCACAAAACTTCGCCAGTTCTCGTCCTGTCCCTCTCTCTTGGTAGATGAAACTGAAAACGCTGACGACTTCTTATCACAGCTTGCCACTCTGGCCACAACGAAGGCTGAAAACACGATGGGAGGGATACGGCAAATTTCACTCCGCCAAGCTATCATTAGCCGAAAGAACAACAAGGACGCGGTCCTTCAAGAGCTGATTCTCTTGGCCAGAGACGGCCCTAGTGCACTCACACATTGCTTGTACTGCAAGAAAGCGCGTGCGGAGCCGGCTTATTTCCGTTGCAGCCATTCTGTATGTGTGGGATGCTCGAGAACCATGCTGGAGAAGGATGGTTCCTTTGACTGCCCCGTCTGTAGCGACCACCTTACTGCTATCGACATTGATGCGGTTATCTTGCCAGCAGTTGCGACGAGAGACTCAGAAGCCACTGGCGCTACTCAACGGAATGATGCCATTGAGGTGGACTTGAACGATGCAGCGATTGAGGAGATGTTGAGCTCTCTGCAAGAAGATGTTGTCGATGATCCCTCGCCGGCTGAAGCTTCTCATCAGCAGGTGTCTACCTACAGCCTTGTCCGCCAGAATCACTTCGAACCATCGGAACAGCAAGGTATTGTGCAACTTGCAGAGCTAGCAAACCACGCGAAGCCCAATTTGACCCCTGAATCGGAGAGTTATGCAGAACAATTTTACTCAAACGACATGGGTCCCTCTGTGAAGGATCTTGTTCGACACGCGGTTGAGTGTTCAGAAGACCTATGGGAGAGCCCAAAGATCAAAGCGCTTTGTGAGACAATACAATCCATTCGGGACTCTTCCCTCGAGGCCAAGATCTGTGTCTTCTCTTCGTTCAACAAAGTTCTGGACATTGTCGAAGAAGCACTTGTAACGTGCCACTATACTGTGGAGTACGACATGAACACAAACATGAAACTGCTGCCAGGCCAAAAGGTCATCAAAAGAGAAAAGGACGGGTCCAAAGGACGGGTAGTACGCAGATCACCCGATCGCTACCAGCCCGAAGAGCCATCGTCTGGCTGGGATGTCTTGTATGAAGTTGCATGGCGTGGACGAGGAATAACCGCCAATTCACATGTCCATCGCAATGACCTGCTGGTGGAGCCTGTGGTCGTTGATAGCGTTTCTCCCAAGCATGTACGAAAGGACCCGGCGGATAAGAAACTCTCTGTGAACGGTTCCTCAGACCGATACGCCGTTGGCTCGAAGGTTGAAAGCCGGCGGCCGGCTGTCTCCTCACTAGAGCTTCAGGTGGGGTACAGCGTCTTGATTCTTCCAGTCGGCAATGTGGGTAGTCCCGAGCCCGGCCGCGTTGTCTATGTGCACGATGAGGGTGGCTCAGTATCCTATGACGTTCAGCCAGATGGCTACACAGTCTCGGCGAATAATGAACACGTCCGAAGACAGGTGCTTTGTCTTCCACCGTCCAGATTGCAGGATAAGGGCATTGCAAGGTGGCTCCCTGCCAGGATTGTCGAAATCTCCACTAAAAGGCTGACAGCCGAATCGATTTCAGCGACCAAAACCCGGGCTGATCCGTTTGAACATGCTCTTGGCTACGTCCGTCTGGATGGCGGTGCCGGTGATGCCTCCCGCAGAGGTGAAATCCTTGAAACATTCAAGAGAGACCCGATGACCTCAGTGGCCCTCCTCACAAAGACAGCGGCTGGTGTTGGTTTGAACTTGACAAACGCCAACTATGTCATTGTACTGGAGCCCAGCATTGACGGGCACGATGAATTGCAGTCAATTGCGCGCATTCATCGTATTGGACAAACGCGAAAGGTATCAGTGCTCAAGTTCTACATGAAAGGATCAGTTGAAGAGCGGATTCTTAGCAGGCGGCAGCAACGTGGCGAGCTCAATGTTTCCATCAACACTATCACTGGAGTCGATCCTGCAGAAGGAGAGGAAGGCGCGACCAAGGGAAAGAATACGGTTTCGTCATCAAAAGCGTTGGCTTTTTCAGATTTGAAGTTTCTACTTGGGGCGGACGGCAGCGGAGACGGGTGCAAGATCCGCAGTTGAGTGGAGAAGACTCAACAACTAACCTGTTTTGTCAGACCATTGGGTTGTGCTTATGATTTCACGACATACTTTACCGAGATGCTGCGGATACGGTATAGAGCACGCAGACGTTGAATCGAATCTGAGCTAGAGTAGAGAGTACCAATGCATTATACTTTTTCTATAAGTTGCTAGTTAGCTAGACGAGTTAGTCTTTGGCCATGTGTTTCTTGGTCTAGGCTGATGGTGGGAAAAAGTAGGCCCCCAAACCCTCCTTCGCGGAATGGTTCCGTCTCAGAGTCCTCAACAGGTTTCTTCGTCCCCGAGGACCATCGCCCCCTTCACTCGCTACAGAGTGTCTGGATCGATCCAAGTCAGGGCTGTCACAAGTACCAGTGCTGTCAGTGTCACTTGCATGGAAGGACGAAAACAACATCTTCAGTGACTTGGGCGTTTCAAGAGAGAAGCTGGAGGGCATCTTCAGTGACTTGGGTGTTTCAAGAGGAAAGCCGGCGGATAGGCTGCAGTTGAATAGTTTTCGGGAGTGTGGCTTCTTCTCACAGCAGCTACTGTCACGGATAATGTCCATCAGATCTTGATACTTGCCGGATACATCCGCAACTGCATGAAGAATATTGTCCAATTCTGGAGCAACACCTGTGTCATTGTCAATGTGACTCCATGCAATGCGTCCATCCTGTCCAATCACAAAGGTGGCAGGCAAGGGGATGTCCCAGCCTGCTTGGAGTCCATGATGTGATGGCCAATCATCACCCCACTTTGACATGAAGGGATGATTATGAGGTTGAACTGTAAATGTGATGCCAAACCTTTTGGCCAGAATATTCTCAGTGTCACTGCACACAGCAAAGTTCAAGTCTCTCTTTGTTGCAAGGTAGGCAGTACCATCAGGTAGCATGGGTGAAATTGCCACCAGACTTGCTCCAGACTTTTCTAGTTCAGGCACTAACTCATTTCCATACCTCATCAGAGTGGCATTACTGTGGGGCGACCACTTGCCGTGATAAAATGAGAGGACGACAGGACCCTTTTCAAGAAGATCACTCAGGCACACAGTGTCGCCATCCTGGTCCTCCAATTGAAAGGAAGGAGCCAAAGAAGGTTCTTTCAAAGATTGTTGTGCAACTCTTTCCCCTTGGTTATCCTCAACCCAATGTTGATAAGATTGAATATCTTCATCAGTAGATAGCCCATAGAAGGCATCGACAATCTCATTTAGCTCTTCCTGTGATGTACCTGACTCTGGATAGTTCTCTTCTTCCTCCAGCATGGAGGTTCCGGTCTGGGCTTCCTTTGATGTGGGAGGGGCTGGCATCCTGATGATGTCTGTGGTTGCAAAGATAGTGCCGGTAGCGATGATCGTGATCGTGATGTTTTTGTTTTTGAATGGATCTGTGAACAGAGGGTTGTTTGGCGGCCTGTGGGGTTGAGATTTATGAGAACCTCCAACATCTACCGTATCCCATGCGGCTCCATCAGCCAGCTGCACCTTTTTACAGTGTTTGTAAGCGAGGGCAACCACTGTAAACAGTACCACTTCGGCAGGCTCTTGTGTCTCGCCGTTTGACGGAGCAAAAGTGTTTAACTCATTCGGTTCGTTTCACTGTGTTGGCTGATGAGTATGCATTCCAGTACAGTACAAGCAAGCTGAGAATTTGAGAGTTGAAAGTTGAAAGGAGCTCTCTGCTAGCTAGCTAGCAGTACGTACTGTGGTACTGCAGGAACAAAGAAGCTCAGTGGCCAATGCATCCGATCCCACACAATCCCCGTACATGTACTACTGACAGTGCCGGTGCTCCCCCCCCACCCTACTACCATTATTTCCTCGTGACTCGTACATGTAACTCGTACGCGGCGTACCAGGTACCTACATACTGTACCGTACTGGGTAGGGTGATTTGTCCCTCACAAATTTTCACTTAGGCTTAAGTGCGTGCAAATCCACTTAGTCTAAGTGTAACACTTAGCCTAAGCAAAACACTTAAAAATAGCAATACACTTACTTTGGCTAAGCAATACACTTTGGCTAAGCAATACACTTAGGCTAAGTGATGCTCTCCAATGCATCTTCTCAACAGCACAAGTTCAGCACAAGTTCAGCACAAGTCCCTGCAGCTTGCTGTAAACAAAGTGGAAACACAAGTTCCAATACAACCATCACCCACCATATCCTCTGCTTTTTATGCAAGGCGTCCTGCGAACTGCTCAAAGAAACTTCACAAGAAAGAGTTCAATTGGGCTGAGACTGAGATTTAGATCCAGGTTGCAACTTCCCTGGAGGATGGTATCATCCATAGATGGCAGCATGCTATTAATTAATCTGGCTTCCACCCTTGGCTATAATGTAAATAAGCAACAACAAAAAAGTGCCAAGGGAGACTCTGTACGATTGGGAATTATTACGGTTCCAGGGTGGAAGTCCGAAAGTACTCATCAGGAGTTGTGGGTACTATTCCGATGTACAAATGATGTTGCTTTCTTGCAAAATCTTGGATATTCCCGATGTTTCCAAATACATGTTCAGTGTATTTACCTACCATCTGAGAGTTGTTGGTCGTTAGTTGTGCCTTTGGTGTGACCATCATCCCCTCATTGCATAGCCCCAAAGCACTTGCTGGCAATATAGTTACTATTGGGAATGAGGATCAGCAGTAATACATAGTTTGTGTAGCTGCAGGGACTTGTGCTGTTGAGAAGATGTCTCGGAGAGCATCACTTAGCCTAAGTGTATCGCTTAGCCAAAGTGTTTTGCTTAGGCTAAGTAGAACACTTAGTCTAAGTGATTCACGTAAATCCACTCAGCCTAAGTGAATTTACGAACACTTAGCCTAAGTGAAAATTTGTGAGGGACAAATCACCCTACCCTAGAAAAGTACATTGTAATGAGCAAGCGAGCAAGCCTTCCAAAGACACCCAGTTTCCGTCGTCTTCAAACAAACTGGTAAGTCTCATTTCGAAGATGGCCTTCCGAAATCTTGTCTTGGAAAAAAGGATGGTTTTAATTAAAACAACAGATGAAGTTCCAAAGTTGAAGCTACGCGGCGTGGAAGCAAAGAGCTTTTTGGGCCCGTCAAAGTGGAAACAAATACTCCGTACCAGTACAACATCCACACCATTTCGGGCCACTTTGGATCCTTGCAACCACTTTGGATCCATGTGATCCAGTTTGATTCGATTCAATCGCAGTTGACACATGGATCATGCATGGTGTTACTGATGCTGCCACCTTGCCTTCTCCATGCAGTACCGGTATCCACCAGAGCCAGCCAAACATCTCCTGCTCTCCAATGGAATGGCTGAACCCACGGCACCTCTGCCGTCAGTCAACTTGGCAAGAATTCGAAGGAGAGGAGTGGCAATCGAGTGACAGCCCAGTCAGGAAACGACCCCGACCGAATGGGGAGCCAAACGAAAAAGAAACCGAAGTACCTCAGTTTTAAGGCTAGCTATGCATCAATCTTACATGTAGTCAGGGGAGAGAGGAAGGGATCCAATGGAGTCCATGTCATATTATCAGCTGCGCCACTTGCACCACGCTAAGCAAACTCCGAAGCCAGCGAACAAACCATGCCAACGCAAAGGTTGACTGCATCCCAACAAAGCGAAGCAGGAATATCTGCAGCAGCAGTGCTGGAATAGGTATGAATGTCGATCCCTTAAACCGATAACGCCGTTGCAGCCCAAGCCATTGGCTGGACAAACTGTTGGATCGTACAGGGCGCAACTATCCTTTTCGACTGTCACTCGCTACCCAAAGCGTTCTTTTCCTTGACACATCGTCACGGTTTTGGTTTCTTCCAGAGCTCGTTCGAACTTTTCGTCGGGTGGCTACGCAACTCAGAGAAGAAGAGCACTACACAACAGTGGTTGGTACCGTTTGGCTGATACGTCATGTTGAGGCCCACAGATCACAGGATGATGTTGTGCTGACGTGAATATATCTGCCTGTACCCCTACCGGTACCTTTGAGATGCAATCGAATGGCCTCCGGTGGTTCCTGATCATTCAGGGCACAATGGCTGGCCAAGCAGACGAAGACTGCAAACGTAGGCTCTTGTGCGAACAGGACCAGACAACTAGCTACAGTCGTACTCCGCAATCGACATGCTGGCAGTCTTCCCGGTAGCGACGGTGTCAGTCGTCAAATGATGCAAGTAGATTGGAAGAAAGCTCTCGACTTGCCAACAAAGCACGTACTTCTCCTCCACAGAAAGCACAGATTTGGGATGGCTCCCGTGTCGCGACAAATAGGGCAACTTCTCGGCATGCAATCAACTAGCAAATTGTGGGGGCCTGATAGTCTCGAGTATCAGCAATAGAAAGATCGCTTGGTGCACCCTTCGTAAGGTAGCTGTTCACTAGGGTACGGCTGTACCGTACCGGTACCGTACCTCTGCCGGTACAGCGTACCGGTAGGTCCCTCCTCTCTCGCCGCACGGAGGACAAGGTCGAGTGCTGCAAACGAACGCCAATACTCTAGTAGTTGGTACCGTTTTCGTACCCTTCTTGCGCCTACATAGTAGTACAGACCTCCACGCACACGACGCCGAGACTCGCAGAGTCGGCACTAGGGTTGCTGTTTTATTATGCTCTCATGACTACTAGTATGACTATACTCTTATTTGTGTTGCCACCACCAAAACAGGCAACCGTATAATGTGTAACGAGCGTTGACAAGTTTGTACGTATTCTGCATAAGAATTCTGCTCTCTACTCCGATGGTGTCAAGAAGTATCTCCCCAAGAACTCCTTTGCGGATTGGTTTCTTCTGAGCGTTCGTTTTCTTCGCCGAGAATCAACTGATCGGCGAAACCTTGGAATTTCATCTCCGCCTTCACTCTTCACGGAATGCTGTGAACATCGATCCAATTCATGACTCTCACCACTGCAAGTGCTGACGCTGTCGTCGTCGGGGCGATTTTGGGAGAACATCCTCTTTAGTGGCTTGGAAGATACGCGAGGAAAGGTTGTGGAGAGTTTTCGGTTGAACATTTTTCGGGAACGCGGCTTCTTCTCACGGGTGCTGTTGCTACTAATGTCCATGAGACCCTTGTATTTGCTGGATGCGTCAGCAACTGCTTGGAGGATATCACCCACCTCAGCACGAACTCCAGGATCATTGTCTAGGAAGCTCCATGCAATGTTTCCGTCCTGCCCAATAACATAGGTTGCAGGTAAGGGGATTTCCCATCCCGCATTCAGTCCATTGTGCTGGGGCAAATCATCTCCCCACTTCAACATGAAGGGACGAGTGTGAGGTCTCACCGCAAAGGTGATTCCAAATTGCTTTGCAACTTGATTCTCAGTGTCACTGCACACAGCAAAGTTCAAGTCTCTCTTAGTGGCAAGGTAGGCTGTTCCATCAGGTAGCATGGGTGAAATGGCCACCAGTGTTGCTCCAGACTTTTCTAGCTCAGGCACTAACTGATTTCCATACCTCATCAAAGTAGCGTTGCAGTGTGGACACCATCTGTAATAAAAAGCGGGGAGAGCAGGAATTTTAAAGACCACCGTGCAGCAATCACGTGTTTACGATGTCTTTCTGCAGTTGGTCCACTTACTTTCCCCGATAAAATGAGAGGACGACAGGACCCTTCTCAAGAAGATCACTCAGGCGCACAGTGTCTCCATCCTGGTCCTCCAACTCAAACACAGGAGCCAAAGCAGGTTCCATCAAAGCATTTTCTGCAACTTTTTCACCTTCAATATCCTCAACCCAGCATTGATAAGCCCGGATATCTTCATCTGAAGAGAGCTCATAGAAAGCATCCACAATCTCATTCAGCTCTTCCTGCAATGTGCCTGGCTCGGGATAATTCTCTTCTTCAGCCAACATGGAAACGGTTCCTTGGGTCTCTGGGGCTGGTCCCTGAGGAAGATCCACACTACTGCATGTGCTGGCGGTCATGGTGTGCTGGGTACTGTGTTAGACTGAAGCTTCTGGCAGATGGGCGACACCAGGAAGTGGTGTTATTATGAGGGATGAGGGATGAGAGCAATGAAATAAATTTTGCCTGATTGATGGGTGATCGGGGGCATCGGGGGAAGAGGGACGCGCGGGCAAAAACAAGTTCCAAAACAAACAACAACGAATTCCGAAGAACAAAGAAGAAAAGCAACCAGCAAAGAGTGTCAAAAACTGCACAGATTTTACTGTGGTACTTTAGTACAAAAACTGCTACTGGCGCTGAAGCCAGAACTACTGTCGCGTAATTGGGGTAAATGTTGGAATGTTTACTTTGTATTTATTATGGATTGATTTTCCTCAGCTTCAAGCATCAATGCAAAGTGGCACTTCAACAAAAAGTGTCAGAGGACTCCCTCCTTATTTGCTTGTTTGAACCCATTTAACACTTGAGTGCCCTCTTCGATCCCAGTAATTTTGAGATTGCTCTTTGGAACATGGTGGGGGGAATGGGATATTTAGCTATTGCAATATGGGATCATTGCAGGCAAGCAGGCAACATTCGTCGGAGGAAAAGGGTGTACCGGAACTTGTTCTGGTATACGGAATACACGTACGGTACGGGAGCTCTTTACCAGTACCGGATTTCTCTATGGCAATTTTGTACAGTCATTGTGTGTTCCGAGTACAGTACTCGTAACTCATTATTTACTATTTACTCCGTCCGAGTATTTTGTCCAAGTAGTCTAGCCAAGTATTTTAAAATAGTACGGGTGCTCAGTCTCAGTACCGTACAGTACCACGTACCACAAGCACAAGAGTAGCTATGCTAAGCTATGGTAATAGTTGTCTACTCAGTACTATTATATGTACATGTAGTACGTAAGGCGTGCGTTGGGAGCCAGAACTATAATCTCTTTCTACCAGTACCGGTACACCGGTACCAGCTGACGGCCAAACATGACATTGTCAGATCATACAAAAATAGAAAGAATTAATGTCAAATCCCAAATGGAAAAGAATCGAGTCGAGTCACTTGGCAGTTCTGAGGCGGAGACGTCTGAGAGGTCAGGCGCGGTCCTAACCAGCTATTTGCACCTCTTTCTTCTCCCTTCGTTCGCCAGATCGAGTTAACTGTAAAAATCGGCTTGCTTTTCTTCCATTCCACGAAGCTGCGGTACGGCGAATTGATATTTCAATTCGCCGTACCGCAGCTTTCGTGGAATTGGATTTCGCGAAGGACCAATCAGAAAACGTTAGAGCCAGCCGAACTCAACCAAGCCCACAAATCACTAACTCTAATCGGCAAGCTTGTCTTTTCGAATACCGGTAGCGGAGCCTACTACTAGCTAGCTACCAACAGACCAATCTCGACAACCAAGAAGGTTAACAAGCCAAACCAAGCCATTAACCTATCTACTACTATTGGAAGCTTGTTAGCCTTCTTGGTTGTCGAGATTGGTCTGTTGGTAGCTAGCTAGCTAGTACGACCGTACAGTACGGTCGATTCCAATTCGATTCGATTCGATTTGCTCGCCTTTTCGTTAGAGTTGGGGATTCGAGGTGATGTTTCTTTCGCGTACGGCGAATTCTCAATATGTGTGTCACATGGATAGGAATGAAATCTTGATTCGTACGCTTAAATAAATCGACGAAAATAAATGTGTTTCGCGAATGCACGGAGGACACACATGGCGAATGGATAGGACCTCGCCTCAGGCTGCGAGTTCATGTACTCGGGAATCGCAATTCGCACTTTCACCCAAAACAGCTCCCAAAACCCAAAACAAAAGAGCCAAGCCCTCCCAATCCGTTTACTAGCTACCGGTAGTACGGTACTAAGATGTGGGGTGTGGGATGTATCTGGTCAAGCAGAGGATGGGGCTCGGTGTGTCAATCATCATGTGCACGCACCCCCACAGCACAAAGTCCTTGGCTGAATTACTCGGAAATAGACCACACAGGGCCAAGCACGACGAGAAGGATCGCAGCTCGAAGAAGACAGTGCTCAAGCACCTGCAGTAGTATGGATGCATTCCAGCCCTGAATGTGAATCAGCCCAGAAATGAATCATGAAGGGAATTGAATCTGAATTTAGCTACCGTGCTGTAGCTAATAAGCGACGATCCTTGTTGAGTTCAGTCAGTCACGTCGGAGGGAGTTTTTCCCCCAAATCTTGCAGGATTCAAATGGTATCCACGAATGGCTTGGTTCGTGAGACAGCAAAGATCTCAATTCAGAGAACAGTCCTTCTCGACTCCTGGACAACAACGCCTGCCAAACAAATGTATCATAAAACATCATCACTTGAAAGAGCAAAGCAAAGCAAAGCAACAGCATAATCACAACTATGATAATTCCTCGAAGTCGAACTCGTACCCTTCTCGCCGCTGCTGTAACCATAGCAGCAAGGAGTGCCATGGCAGCGTCGCCACCCGATGAACTGGCCTCGCAATTCCAAAAGGAGCAAGGATTGCCCGGCCTGGTTGTGGCTTCAGTGGCGCAATCTCCTACGATGGGTCTTCAAATGTGGACGGCTGCCTACGGGCAGGCTAACATTGCCAAAAACGAACCAATGACAACCGATACATCCCTCTGGATGGCCTCCTTGACGAAGGCGGTGGTCGGGACTGCCATGGCCAAAGCGAAGGAACAAGAGTACATTGTGGACTACACCGACAAGGCATCCACTCTGCTTAGCTGGCACAATGCCTTTGAGATTGGCGACGCTGAAAAAATGCCCTGGCTGTCTGATATTACCCTGGAGCATTTGGCAACGCACCGTTCTACAATCAGGGACAACATGGAAGTATACTTGTGTGGTTATTATGTGGGAGATAAGACTGGGAACTACAGTTTGCTGTTGGATATAGTTGGCATGCCCAATGCATGTATCGACAATAGTCCGGTAGAATTGGGAGCGTTTCTGGAGAGCTATTTGTCTGTGGATGGCGCATATTTCAATGCGACAACAAACTTTCTGGATGGAGTGATTCCAGGACAGCAGGCCTCCTACAGCAATTTCGGAGCTGCGCTAGCCGGATATCTCCTGGAACTGGCAACCAACGAGCCTCTCCCGGATTATACCCACACAGAAATGTTTCAAGTTTTGGGTATGAACTCCACGAGCTTTCGACAATCCGATTTGAACACAATCGCTACACCTTATACCAAGCTGGACGGTACTTTGGAAGAATATATGGAAATCCCCCTGTACGACGTCGCAACGTTCCCCGACGGAGGATTGCGCAGCAGTGTCAATGACATGGCCAGATTTCTTGGAACCATTATGAATGGTGGAACGTTGGATATTTCTCCGGAGGATGATGCGGACGAAACTGCTACAGCCAGAAACGGAAGAGAAAGCACCGTCCTACTCCAACCAGAGTCTGTAAAAGAAATGCTTCGTCCACGCTATGAAAGCGACCGTGCCATCTTTTGGTTTGTGACGGAACTCGAAGTAGGAGGGAAGAATCGAAGTCTGATTGGGCACAATGGAGGAGATCCTGGCGCTTTTACGTATCTGTTCTTTGATCCCGATACTTCTACAGGATACTTTATTGCTGGGAATGGAGATGGTTCAACCTTGGACCCGTATGCTTTGGCCGACCTTGCGGCAGCACTGTTTGCCTACGCGGATGAACTGGCCATGGATGACGGCAACGAGACGCCCGCTGAGGTGGATGGAGGAGCTGGTGTTGAGACTGATCCTGACGACACCAATAATGAAATTTCAACCGCAGAAGACGGAGGCGCTCCGGGCGCTGGATCCTCCGACGTAGCGGAGGTAGGTTCTAGTGCATTCGTTGTGCTCGGAGGCTCCGTGAGCACATGCTTCCTCAGGCTTTGTTCCTTGTCGATCGCGGGGTTGATGGCGGCGTTCTAAGCATACTCTAGTAAGCTAACTGTTTATGGCAAGAAAAAGGATGAGAAGGTAGCGTACTAGGTCTAGTTTGCCTACTGGCTAGCAAGTTGGCCTTTAGAATAGACCTCCCCACAGCCCAAAAAATACAGGTGCCGGTCTCTTGGCGTCGCGCCGTGGGATGCTCCAACCAACCACTGGCAGGGACAGTATCAATACCGTAGGGGTAAGGTTAGATTTATGGTTTGACAGCTTTTAAAAAAAGCAGAAGCGTTCTTCGTGTCATTGACCCCTCTGACCAAGCCGGAGACCGGAGGCTTATTTGTTTGTTCTGCCATCACACAACCCTTTCTGCTTCAATCATGACAGGCAACGTGGGTATTGGAATTGCCGGTGTATGTGTTGCCTCCTTGTTTTGGGGTAGCTGCTTTACCGTCTGCAAGGGCTACGATTTGCCCAAAGATGGGGTCCATTTTGCCTTTCTCATGTCGATCGGGATAATGCTGATGGGAATTCTGTCGCTGCTGTTTTCGTCTGCAACCCATGGTGATTACCAAGTCGTCTTTGCTCCGCTGGGAGTCTTTGGAGGCTTTTTGTGGAGCTGTGGCAACTTTTTAACGGTACCAATCATTGAGTATGTGGGTCTCGCTGTTGGAATGGCCATTTGGGCGGCCGTCAACATGATTGTCTGTTTTGTTGTGGGAGCCATGGGATTGCCCCACGGTATCTTGCCCAAGGAACCACTCTCGCATCCCAGTTGTGGTGTTATTGGAGTCCTCTGTGCGCTGGGGGGTCTTTGTATCTTTGCTAATATCAAGGCAGAAACCAATACTTCTACTACAGCCACTGATGAAGCGCCCAATGACGAGGGGGCAGCTGCCGACACGGAAGAACAACCAGAACAAGCAGCGCTCAGTGAGCCCCTCTTGCCTGAAGAAAGCACGACAACAACAACAACAACAACAACTAGCAGCAGCATAGCTGGCAATCTACCACTGGGAGTGGCTATGGCCATGGCTGCAGGAGTGTTCTATGGATTCCAAATGGTACCCTTGACGATTTGGAACCACAAGGTCCATCAAAATGGCAATATTTTTGACGATGGTCAACCCCTCCCCTCGGACACGCTCCTGGCCATGCGATTCTTCTTTTCCCAATTTGCCGGAATCTTTGTCACGTCCCTGTTGGGATTCAGCTTCTACTCAATCGTCATGGGTCAACAACCCCAGTTGGTCCCACCAAACGCCACACTGCCATCCATTCTGTGTGGTGCTGTCTGGGCCGTGGGATGTGCGGGAGCCATGTTGGCTACGGCGGAATTGGGGAATGCGGTGGGATTCCCGCTCGTTTTGAATTGTAGTTTCCTCATCAACTCGGCATGGAGTATCCTTGTATACAAGGAAATACAGGGCAAGCGCAACTTGCAGCTCTTTGGTGGAGCCTTTGCGCTCAACTTTCTCAGTTCTTTGTTCATCTCCATTTCCAAGGCATGAGTTAGTTGTTTTCCAACGGAAATCTATACTCAATTCTACCCGTGGTCCGATGGCCACACCATGTATTCGACTTGAGGCCAGTGCGCTTCACAGCAACCAAAACAATTTCCTTTGTATGGTATGTCCTAGTAGCCACCGACAATAGAACTACATTATTTCCACGACGCTCTGATACATAACATGAGACAAAGACCATGACCTTGCAGGCTTAGCTGCTGCTGCTTAGGAGAATTTTTTAGTATGGTGTAGTCTTACCATGCCAAGGTTGCAGAAAGGCAACCCAGATCAACCTCTGGAATGCGTACAATGGCACCGGTATTGCCGGTCTTCAGCGATCAATTCGGGGGTCAGCTTAATCTCACGCAGTTGGTGACTGCGGTCGTTCCAAGGCCCAATCCGCGGAAGTTCTATAACTTTGCCCATTACCCCACCAACACGGTTCTGTCCAATGCCCGGCTAACCCAGGCTATTGGTGGAGACCGCCGTGAATCAGCTGTTACTCGACGGCTTCGATTTTCCACGGTGACAGTTGAAGGCAGCAACCTGGTTCGTACAGGCCACCAGCCTGCTCTTCGCCGGATTTACTTCGGGTGAATGGCCATACGAGTACGCTGTAGTTAGATAGGTGGGGAAGCTTTGGGTGGACTGCATCCACAGCCAGCAGCCAGTTTTCGTATCGTTCCGTTGAAAGGGGTTCGTGAATCGAACCAACTCCGGATTGAAACTGCCCCCAAGCTTCAAAAATGAAAAAACAACGGCGCAACAACAGGATTCAAAGGGGATGCAGCTGCCGTAGTACTGCAATAGTTTTGGATTTCAATAGCAGTGCAGTGACAAAGGATTGGTTATTAGCTACCGTAGCTATCAGTCTGAGAAAGAGAATCCACGATGGGGAGTGACGAAGACAGGAAAGATCGAAAACGAAAGAATGACGAATCCACCACATCTTCCGAAGAAGTAGCCAAGAAGCGTCGTAGCCGAGACGATTCCGATGAGGAAGATGATAAGGACCGCAAGAGGAGCCGAAAAAAATCCTCCAAGAGGCGCGACGACGAAAGCTCGGATAGTGAAGACGACAACCGAAGATCCAAAAGCAAGAAGAGATCCAAAAAGAAGAGCAGTCGGAAACGCTCTAAACGCAAGGATAGTGACGACGATGACGGCAGTTCCTCCAGTTTCGACGACGATCGCCGCCGCCGAAGTAAACGAGACAGGAAAAAGAAAAAGAAGAAACGAAAAAAGAGCGGTAGCAAACGCAGAAGAAAAGACGATTCTGACGACGAGAGCAGCAGTGATGAGAGCAAGACGAGGCGGAGTGCCATTTCAGGCAAAAAGATCAAGATGAAGATTGAAAAAGACGCCGAGGATTTGGCCAATGAACGAGCCAGGAAGGAACTCTTGCAATTCATGAACAGTTCTTTCAAATGATTCTTTACAGCAGGGGACAACTAGCTAGCTACAGTAGCTGTTGGCATGGCATGGCTACCAAGAGATGGTGAGTGCAGTGCATGCTTTTTTCTGTTGCTCGGTGGCAACAATTTCAACTCCCGTCAATTCCCGTTCTCACGCTTTCATCCTTCCACGCCCGGATGTAAAATGCGACGGCGGATTGATACTGCTGGGGATAATGCATCCAATTTGGGGTTATCACTGCTGGCGGTCTCTAGCTGGCTAGACAGTCCGGGTAGTGGACGACCCCATTGTTGTGTTCTGATGATGATGCTGCAGATTGTTGTTTTTGGATGGTGCTGAACTTGAAGAGTGTGTTTGTGTTGGCGCAAACAAATAATATCTTTGATTTCATCAATTTTGGCTTTGCACCTTTGCCTTCTTGGGCTTTGGTGGTGGCTCCTCACTGTCTGAGGACATGGTTAGTAGTAGGGTATGTTACAGTAGCTGCTAGTGGCTATAAGATATGAAAGACACTGAGATTGGGCTGCTTGTAAGATATTGACTTGGTGTGGCTGTTGATGAATCCAATCCTTTTTACCTGGCCCTTCCAGTACATCCAGGACTCAAAATATAGTTATCTTATCGGTGAGGTAGGAGTGTACCAGGCATCGACTGGTTCGATTTATTCGATTCGATTTTAAATTAGTCTAGCTAGAGAGTAGATTCAATCGAATCTTCAATGTCACGGGGGTTCAATCGTTCATTCATTCAATCGAGAACCCATGCCATCGAGAACCCATGCCACCACACAAGGATAAACCCTGCGACCACAGCACAATAATGTTCTGAAGAAAAACAAATGGCCACTTCACACTAGCTAGCTAGCTACAAACAATGGAAGCGATCCAAAACCTGTTCGAGGACAAGCTGGTGGAAGATGCCAGAGAACCGTTAACCACATTTGGAATTCCAGGTTTCGAGGGTACCTTTGGTCTTTACTCTCCACGGTGGGAAATATGGAAACAGCTCCTTTTGGTGTGCCCGCACGGTTTCTTTTCGTATCTTGTTAGAGACATGTATCAGGCATCTCATAAATCTAACCCACTAATCTCTCTTTTTCTTTTGATATATTTAGCTGGTGACACTGTCTCAAGTGTTGTTGCTGCGGTTATTATATACAAGTTGATCATTCCCAATCGAGGTTCCGTTGGCGCGTACCTGTTGGGATGGGGTGTCATTATTCCATTGTCGCTGTGGATACCCTTTGAAATGATGGAAGCGTTTGATCTTCGAAACAAAATTCTCAAAATGTGCGTCTCTCTTGTACCCATGATCGTGGTCTTTCGGTCTATTGAAGCCATGTACGATACATCGCCTCCTGTAGTGGAATACTCCTTGGCCAATTATGTGACCTACTACACTTGTACCATTCATCATGTATGGGATCCCAAAACTAATGGCAGAGTCAGAGTCAACACACAACAATTCATTAGCACCTTTCTACGGGTCGTCTATTACTATCATTTGCAATCCCTGTCACTTTCCTTTCAAATGCACGTTGACTTTAAACCGTTCAAATCGGATCCAGTGGTTTTGGATGAATTCCATGTGACCAGGTTTTGGGAACTACTACGACCGGATCATATTGCCAATGCCTACCTTATCGTACTACACCTCTACTTTTATTTATTGGTGGGTTTTGAACTCACCAACTTTGGGGAGAACATTAAAGGATACTTGACCAAACCAACCTTCAAAAACCCTATATGGACATCCAAAAGCCCCACTGATTTCTGGGGACGCAAATGGAATCTCTTGATTCACGACATTCTCAAGGGTGGTGCCTTTTTGCCGGCCCGCAAATATGTCAGTACGCCCTTGGCAGTAATGTGGTCCTTTATCTGTTCGGGGCTGATGCATGATTATATGTGGGCAGTGATATTTTATCATCATGGATACGAAAAGGATCCGGAGACTGGAATTTGCGAGGATTGTTTCAGTCCCTCCCCTCTCAAATTGACGGCCTTTTTTGTGTGGAATGCCATGATGATGCTGCTCGAGAGACCTGTGAGCAGGTGGGCACCCATGCAATGGATGGCCAACAATCTGCCACTCACAATCATATCTAGTCTGGTGGGCTTGACAGCCTTGCCAGTCACACATTGGTATACAGGAGATTGGGCGGTGGGCGGTTTCTTTGCAGACTATGCCGTGGCTTTGTGGGCCATCAAAAAGCTATGATAAATGTGTCTGTTCCCAGCAGCTACGCAAAGATGCATACAATGTTTCGTAGAACTGTAATCTCCACAATATAATAATGCAAAGCGTGGTACATTTTTGATTAAAATGCCTATCATAGTACGTGTAGCCCAACGTGTTCTGACTTCCATTTCTGTTTTTTAAAAGGGTGTTTATATTCCTTTGGTGCAGTAAGGCTTTCACGGCCATGGCTGCGACGAAACGAGAGTACGAACTTGACGAGTCTTTGGTGATCGCAACAAATTCTTCGGTTCTTGGAGGAAGTTCCACAAGGGAGGAACCGTCAGCTCGTCGATTCTGCATCGGACTGTGTCGAAACGCAACCGCTGACATCAGCTTATGCAGAATTGAATTGGCCAGCCCAGAAATTTTATTCCATTGCCTGCTGATTGATTCTTTCCAGAAAATCTTGCCATCCGTCCTGGTCGGTGGCTGATCTGAGGGTGAATGGCCACATGCGAAGTAGGCTGAGCTCTCCTCACAGGGTTCGAGCTTGTTGGTGAGGGGGTTCCTGAGAGCATCCATTTATGTGCGTGGCAACAATCGCGGCGGCCGCTTTGGCAATCGCCGTTGTATCATTTTTCAGGAACTGGGCTTGGTCTGCAACTAGGTGGTGAAATCTGACATTTCCTTGCACATCAATTGCACTGTATTTAGTAATGTATTCTAGCTAGAGCTATGCAAGTGCTACAACCGAAAGTTTCCATGGATGAATTGCAATCAGGCCTTTTTGGGTCCAATCATTTGTTCCGGTACGATCCATTCATCAAACTGCTCTGCCGTCAAGTGTCCACTGGCCACAGCGGCTTCCTTGAGACTGGTCTTGTTCTTGTGCGCATTCTTGGCAATGGCACTGGCCTTGTCGTACCCAATATGCGGATTGAGAGCCGTCACCAACATGAGACTTCCATGCAAGAGTTCATGAATTCGATCCGTATTCGCTACAATGCCATTGACACATCGTTCCGCAAAGGACTTGCTCGCATCGCCAATCAGCTTGGCCGAATGGAGAAAGTTGGCACACATGACTGGTTTGAACACGTTGAGTTCAAAATGTCCTTGGGCACCGCCAAAGGTAATGGTGGTGTGATTTCCCATGACTTGGGCACACACCATGGTAATGGCTTCGCACTGGGTCGGATTGACCTTGCCGGGCATAATACTGGATCCTGGTTCGTTGGCGGGCAGGGAGAGTTCTCCCAATCCACATCGCGGCCCACTGCCCAAGAGTCGAATGTCGTTGGCAATTTTATTGAGGGAACAGGCAATGGTGTTGAGGACGCCACTCGCCTCGACAAGACTGTCGTGGGCCGCCAAGGCTTCGAATTTGTTGGGCGCCGAGACAAACGGCAATCCAGTTTCCTTGGCAATGGCTGCCGCAATGGCTTGATCGTATCCTTCGACGGTATTCAATCCTGTACCAACCGCAGTACCTCCCAATGCCAATCGATACAGACAGGGCAATGCTGATGTTTCAATCCGCGAAATTCCGTATGCAAGCTGTTGGGCGTAACCACCAAATTCTTGTCCCAGCGTGAGCGGTGTGGCATCTTGACAATGCGTCCGTCCAATTTTGACGAGGGATTCAAATTCGGTCGCCTTGGCTTGCAGAGATTCCAGCAACATTTTCAATCCCGGCAGTGTTCGTTGGTGCAACATTTGTGCGGCACAAATGTGCATGGCCGTGGGGAAGGAATCATTGGACGACTGTCCCATGTTGACGTGATCGTTGGGATGGACGGGACTTTTGGATCCGACTTTGCCGTTTAGAATTTGAATGGCTCGGTTGGACAATACCTCATTGACATTCATGTTGGTCTGTGTGCCACTTCCCGTTTGAAATGTGACGAGTGGGAAATGGCGATCGTGCTGTCCCTCCAAGACTTCGGCAGCGGCTTGACTAATGGCGTCGGCTTTTTCCTTGGGGAGCTTGCCAATTGTAGCGTGATAATTGGCACAGCATTTCTTGACAATGGCCATGGCCTTTACAATTTCCAAGGGCATGCGGGATTCCAGGTCTCCAATAGGAAAATTTTGCAGGGATCGTTGCGTTTGTGCTCCCCATAGAGTGCCAGCTGGAATGGTCAATTCTCCCGGCATGGAATCAGATTCCACCCGCGAGGGAAGGCTAGACACCTGCGCTTGGATAGCATCGTTCAGAACAACTGGATTTGACATGACGATGTTGCTGGTGGCTGGTGAGAATGGATGGGGCGAGTTTGTCGGGGGAAGAAATTGTTTGGTGGGAAACAACTGGGTGCTCTTATTATTAGGACGCTTCCAGAAATAATGAAGACAGCAGGCTAGCTAGAAGTCGTCTCCTTCAAAATAATGGTGGCGAACTGTTGCATTCTCACTTTGTTGTGCATTTTCAGAGCTGGGGAGCGTCCGGTATCTTTTGGGTTTTCACGGAACATAATCTTTTGTGACAATCAGGCTCCACGTGGAAGCAATGTCGTCTTGCTGTGGTCAAACCGAAGCAAGGTGGATCTTTGTTGACGTCACAAGAACAAGGCTGGATCTTTGGTGACGTCATCTCAACCAGAAATTTTTTCTCCCTTTTTCTTTTGGCTTCCACCGTCCACCCACGATGACCACAACCACAACAACTGCCGATCCTTTCTTATTCGTCTCTTGCAGCAAAACCTCCCTTCTCACTTCCCCGACACAACATAACACTTGACATTAATCATGATGTTTGCTTCTTCTGCTGTTCGTGCTGCCAGTCGGCAAATGGCGACCCGACGATTCGCTTCCACGGCGGCCAAGACCATGGCGCAACAATCCTCTTCCAACTCGTCTCGGTTGGTCGCTCCCTTCATGGCGGCCGCTGGGTTGGCCGTGGCCGCTACCATGATCCAACAGCGTGAGGTATGAAAGTTAGTTTGGATATGAGACTAGCGATTGCTGCCGTGATACCCACTTGGCTTGGGTAGCAAAGGAGCATGCATGCTCTTAATAAAATCTTTTTCTCACACTTGTACCGTCTCTAACTTGTTTCTTCCATTATTTTCCACCATTTTATTAATAACAATCATCACATGACATTACACAATATCTACCACCAACCAGAACAAAACGCACAACTTGATCTTTGGAAACTCTGATGCCGTCCAAAAGGCCGTCAAGGAAGTGGAGGACAAGTTTGGAACCTACTGGCCTCGCAATATCCTCATCCTCTTTGGACCTCCAGGTGGGTAGCGTACTATAATATGCGTAATTTTTGGAAGTGTTGCTTTTTTGGATGAGTCTAATCCAGATCTCGTTTTACCATTTCATCTAATTCATCATTATCTTCTGTTGTTATCAGGAGCTGGCAAGGGAACCCATGGTCCCAAAGTCGAAGACATGATGGGCATTCCTCAATTGTCCACGGGAGACATGCTTCGTGCTGCCGTGACCAACAAGACCGAAGTTGGAAAAAAGGCGGAAGCCATCATGAAGGCGGGTGGACTCGTCAGTGATGATATTGTCGTGGGAATCATCAAGGATCGTATCAAGGAACCCGACTGCAAATTTGGATTCATTCTGGTACGTCAATTGTCAATTCACAAACCAAAAGCAGAAGCTTGTGGCGTGGTTTTTATAGTACATCGTAGCTATCACTCATTCATGACATTTTCTTGTTTCTTTCTTCTTTTCACTGTTTTTTCCTTTGCAATTGATATTATTTCCTTCGTTATTTTAAATTAAAAGGACGGATTCCCCCGTACCCTCAAACAAGCCAAGGCACTCGATGCCATGTTGGCAGATGAGGGGGCTGTGGTCACCAAAGTCGTCGAACTGCAGGTCCCAGACTCGGTTCTCGAAGAACGAATCTGCGGACGCTGGATTCACAAATCTTCCGGACGATCCTACCACGTCAAGTATGCACCCCCCAAGTCCATGAAGAAAGATGCGCAGGGCAAACCCATCGAATCGACCATGCTCGACGATGAAACCGGTGAAGCACTCATGCAACGAAAAGATGACACCGCCAAGGCATTGGTCAAGCGACTGCAAGGATATCACGGTGAAACCGTACCCATCTTGGATCACTACAAACCTCACGGGATTGTCAGGACGGTCAATGCCAACCAGAAAATGGAGGGTGTATGGAGTGAAGTCTTGGAGGCTCTTCAGAGAGGGGGGAAGTAAATAGTAAAATGACGTGCAAGAGACCAGAGGCTCCATGCAAAATGCCGTGGTGGTAAACAACAATCAATGAAGAGAGGCGTTCATTATTTTTGACAACTACATGTAGTGCCAGGAATGATACCTATAATTCTGTGCTTTCTGCTGTCCATGGAAGCTCATCCATTGCTCAAAATGGGATTAGGTGCTGACTACGTTCGCACTCATCGTCCAGGAATCTTTTTGCATGCACGGTACTTTACATTATTGCACCTACTAAGTAGGGAGCCGACTTTCTTGGCTACCGATACAGCGAAGCGACCACACCGGTACAATGACCTTGCGGTATCCTCCTCGGCACGGCCATCCAGCCAACGACCTCCTATCCACATCTACTGGTAGAACATCAGCTAAGCCTGTACTTGTACCGTACAGTATGTACCTGTAGCTCGAGCCCAAATCCGCACTCCAAAGTTGGGGTGTACCCGAACCCTATGTACACTGGGTCTTTTAATAATGTGCCCACAAATCACTCCGCAGGTGTGTCCATCAAACGCTTTGTGCTCAGCAAATTACAGTCTAAATACCATGAATCATCTGCCTAAATACCGAACCGACTTAGACAAGCTTTCGAGCGCGGCGCATCCGGGGTAAGATGCTTCACTCAACGCTCCTTTCTGCACACATTTTGTCGTGTAAACGAAAACTCTGACAATTTTGTTCTGTCTTTTTTGTGGATTTTGTGAGAGGGAAAACCATCCTAACGATCACAATTTGATCCTGCAGCGATCCAAGCAAAGCCTCAACAAAAATCAGCATACTAGAAGTAGTTTAGTATCCTCCCACTTAGCTTGATCTCGAGTCCAAAGGAAAAGAAGAGAAGAGGAACACAGAAGTAGTTTGGCAGATACGCTTTCAGAGAATATGAGGAAATTTATTCATCTGCTCCTGCTTTCGGCAGTGGCATTGCTTTCAAGTCAATACACCGGTGTATGTGGAGCCGAGTTGAGAACCAACAAGCAGGATGGTCAAGAAACAAGAGAAGATCGCATTGCCAAGGTCCAGAGCATTGCATTAGAACGTGAGCTTGCACGTCGCCGAGGAGGTGGCGGCAGAGGTGGCGGCAGAGGTGGCGGCGGAGGTGGCGGCAGAGGCAAAGGTGGAGGAAAAGGCGGTAGTATGATGGGCGGCAGCAAGGGCAGCAAAGGAAAAGGTGGCGGGAAGAAACTCAGATTCTTGCCTGATAGAATTGAGCCAATCCCATTTGTGAACTGTATTCCGTTGCCACCAGGATACGGTAACGACGGTAAGAAGATGTCGAAGGGTGTCGGGGGAGGAAGCAGCAAAGGCAAAGGCAAAGGAAAAGGACACAGGAGAAACAGGAGAAACATGAGGAGCGACAGCTATAGGATCCGAGAGCGTGTCTTGCGGTCCACACACGATGACGCCAGGCGCCTTGGTCACCGAGGACGCAACCGTGGCGGACACAGAAATGGAGCCAGGAAGATGAACCACGGCCAAGATAAGCACCGCGACCGCCCTAATATGAATCACGGTATGAAGATGATGATGGCAAGACTGCCATACTGTCCGGACTCTGCGCCTACTTTCTTCCCCACTGCCCTGCCTTCGTTTACCCCCATCCCGACGGCAACCCCACTGCCCAGTATCACTCCCTTCCCCTCGTTCACACCGTTGCCCACCGAGGATGAAGGTCCCACAGGTCCCACCGCACCTGAGACTCCGACGACGCCGGGAGCTCCGACCACAGCTCCTGATCCGAACAGTCCAACAGCGCCCGATGGTCCCACTGTCGCCCCAGCACCAACGCCTGTTCCGGCTCCCATTGCGATTCCTCCTGGCACGGAGCGCATTCTGGTCGAGTCTCGACTTGAGTTTGGTTTCTTTGACGGGGTGACGGCACGAGAACCAACACAAGAAGAAATTGATGGTTTAATGGTTCAAACAACAGCGTTCTATGATCAGCTGTTGCGAGCTCAATTTCCCAACCTCGACTCGTTCGAGGCAGTGTTTGTCCCGCCTGCCGAGTTCAACGCTGGCAATAACCTGCCAGTCCTGATCAATTTCGATGCTAACGCATTCTTCCAGACAGGTAAGTTCGACAGAAACCAAACAAGTTAGCTTTCAGGATTGGTGTGCTGGGGTAACCTTTACTCACCCATTGCACCGCAACTCTATCTCCACAGGCACAACTGTTCCATCAGCAGCGGAAGTTTTTGCGGTTTTGGAAGGCGCAAACTATCAAGGTGAGTTGTGGCCGTCGCCAAGTAACGTACCGGTAGTGAAAAGTGTTGTGATCCTATGCAGACTTCTAACGCATCTTCCGCTCTATTCAAATGTCAGACTACATCACCATGTATGTGTGGAACAGTGAGCCAGTGGGAGCTGGAAACATCTTCTTTGAGACCCAAGAAGTGGCCTACAACGCTCGTGTCAGCCAAGGCTAAGGTTCAGCTGTGCGAACAAGAAAACGGCGGCCTGAGGATCTACACAATGCTTTCTATATATAGTATCTCTCATGTAACATTGAACAAAAGTTATTTCAAATCCAAACAGTCTTGATCTGTAGATTCTAGACTAGGCTCCGCCTGGTTCGCCGTTTTCCGCCATTGCCGAGTTGAGGTCGAGCCATTTCTATCATCTCATCGATGCCCTGAAGGAAGCCTCGTCCTTGCGTCTCATTGTTTCTAGCATCGCATTGAAAGCAGCTTCCTCGTACACATCCCGTGCATCCATTTCCCTGTCAGATCCATCCTTTGCTGGTGGCGGACAATCCATAAAAGTGTGGCCCAATGCCTTCAGTCCCTGAGCGCGGAGCTTTCTCGCTTTCTTGTCGACTGATTCATCGAAGAAAACCATCTGAGCTACCTCGTGGAGCGTGCTGGTCAGATCTACCACCGTAGTCGTCCACAAGACCTTTAACAAATTCTCCGATGCGGCCTTTTCCATTTCTCTGGTTGCAGCCTCTCGTTCTTCGTCCGTTTGGACTTCTTTCATCTTTTGTTCATATTGTTGTTGAAGTGCCATCATATCGATGCCTGTGGTAATCCCTTGAATTGCATTCTTACCGTGCAGCTGCCTTTCTTGTATCCTGGCATGGTGAGATTTCGCCCATCTTGAGATGCTTGGCAAACCAATGCCGGAATCGACCGAGCCAAGAAATTGCACTGCTGACAACATGTAGATCTGTTCAAAAATGGAAACGCATATTGTTGTTTAGCTTCAAGTCACATGCATCCAGTCTCTTGTTGCATTGTTCGTGCAACCACACCACGTACCTGCCCAATCGTATGTACAAGTTGAATGCCGTAGCTTGCCGAACTCAAATCTTGAGCCTCCTTTGCCCATCTTTCTTTGCATCCAGCCTCCGCTTCTTTGGTGCCGGCAGCATCCACCCAGTTTTGCAGTTTCACTGCCAATGTAACCGCCAGCCGCTTGACTCTTCTAATCTGAAGCAATCTAGCACTTCCAGCCGAAAGATCTTGAGAATCTCCGATACTGGCAGAGGTTGCAGTGGCCAATCGTCCAACATAATCTTGGAACTTGTCCGAGCCAAACAAGAATGCAAACAACAGGGCTGGATCGACCTTTGGTTGACCTGATCCGGCGGTGCTTGTTTTGTCTGGGCTCAATCCTTCTAAACCCTCTCTATCATAGACTGATCGTAATGAGGGATCGCTGAGAACTTGGTAGGCTTCTGCGATATCCTTGAATTTGTTGGCTGCTTCCTGGTCGTCTGCTCCAACTTTATCTGGGTGATATTTTCTCGCAAGGATGTACTGTTTTGGGTGTAGCAATCGTGTAAATTGTCAGCCGTCCGAAACGAATGGCACATGAGCTGCCGTGTCAATGATTGTTGTTCTTACATATTTTCTCTTGATGGCCGATGACTCGGCATTGGGATCCACCTCCAGCACATCGTAATACCGGGTATCCTTGACGGGCTTGTCCACGTCAAGGTGTGTCTGACTATCCAATTTATCTTCAATTTTTCGCAGAATGTCGGAATCATCGGCAGGGATGCTCTGGATATCATTGGCATCTTCTTGCAGATTGGTGCTGACCCATCTCCCTTCAATTTCGTTCCACCACTGGCCCTTGGACTGTGCTTTAATGGCCTTGGGAGTGGCTGCTGTACCTTGTACAATTTGAGTGACGCCAGTTGCCACTCCTGTTTTGTTTGTCAGCAAGTAAGTATTTTAGAAGTACCGATCCAGGCAGTAGATTGTAGATATTTGGAATGAAATGACATGACGGTAACATCCAGGCTGTGGTTTAGCAAAAGTCATTCACACAAAAGAACCTAAGATTGCCAAATTTTCAAAAAAAAGGGACATACCTCCAACAGCCAGGCCGACAGCGCCAACAACGCCCACGACTGCTCCACCGGTCAAACCAACAACTCCTCCCAAAACGCCTCCATTCTTGGCACCTTGAGCCAAACCGACGGTGGGGGCAAGAACTGCTACCCCTGCTGCTCCCACGGCTCCACCAACAATGTTGCTCACTGAGGATAATATTGCAAAAAAGATCAGATATCAGGACAGGCGAAAGAACGCATTGTTACTAGTAGTAAAATCATCTCATGTTTGATTTGACCTACCGCCGTGTGTCAATCCTTCCCGGAAATTTCGTGGCTTGGTTCCTTTGTTGGATTTGAGAATGCTTTCGAGGGATCCCATAGCCTCCTCCCGTTCCTTCTGTTGAGCTTCAGTTGCCATGATTATTGTGGTGCTCTTCTCACTTCCGTTGGTATCTATTCTACCTTCTATGGGTCTCTATCTCTATTTCCTTTCGTTGGCTTCGTTGGATGGAGGCTCCACTGTTTCTTCTTTCTGTTTGGTCTTCGTGACTTTGATTTTTGTGAGAACGAAAAGGATCTTTCGAAAGCGCGGCAGTCGTGCGGGACACAGCAACTGCGAACGAACTTTGCACGCCGTTTCGTTGCTGGTCGGAGCCAACTCGCACGATCCTGTACGGTACAGTCGTAAAAGTTCATCCTGTGGCTTTGCCTACTATTGGGCGACATCAAAGCGGAACGCTTGTACAGTGTATTAGCAGGTAAGAGTCGGCACCGGATCAGTTGCGGCTATTGCTGAATAGGGCAGAGTTTTGAAACTCTGCCCTAATAGGGTAGAGTTTCAAACTCTGCCCTAAATCCGATTCAAGAATCCTACCAAATGGTGGATCATGACCGTTGCGGCACGATCCTGCAAAGAGACGACTTGTCAGCCCTGCAAAGGCATTATTATGCGATGGGTTAAAGAGCAGTGCTATGAAATCCTTCGAATGGGTTTTATAAGAATGGAAATTGTATTGTGTCCACAGCAGCAATGAGGCAGCCAACCATCCTAACGATGCCTTGCCATGTTGTCAGCATCAAGAGAGATCACTTGTTCTGACCTCAAGCTTGCAATCCAAAACTTCAGTCAAATGGCCACGGAGCTACAGCTTGTAGATTGGGTTGCACTGGACAAATCTTGTTTGACAGCAGACGCCACAACAATCAAGTGCACTCCATCGAGCATGTGGCTCCTTAGTACTCATAACAAGACTTGGATGCAAATAGCAATACCATGGCCAGGATGTCCAATGCATCTGAGGCGGTGACAGCCCCTCAAGAAAGAAGTCAAGGAAAACGTTCCCAAGCAGGGATACGCCCAGCTGATCCCATGAGAAGAACTCAAGAACGTTCTCCCTCACACTAGCCCTATTGCAGCAATTCCACACAAAAACAGAGTCTTCAGAGGGAGCATGGAGGAATCATTCACCGTCAAAGCACTTGAGGCAGCTATCAAACATGGGGCTCATCCCTCAGCCCATGTCCCTGAAGCTTCTCGAGCCCTTTGGAGGGAGGTTGAAGGAATGATCTCACAGGGCTATCCAAGATAGATAGCACCCATTCCCTTTGCAGCAGCCCAAAGCTGGAGGATTTTTCCAGTGTGATAACCTTTCTTTCGCCAATGAGGAGGTGAAGGCCTCCGAAGCGTCCCTGGAGAGAAAAGGGGGGCCGAGTGTTGTTCATGATAACAACAGGTGCGGAAATTTTGTTCGTCGTTTCCCGAGCTGTGATTCTATTCCCCTCAATAGCATTCGAGTTGAAAGTCATATCCTCCCCAAGAGCCTTGGTGACTTTGGATGCGGTATCGTAGTCAAAGGGTCTAAGAGACACCAGCTTATCTTTCTTCCGTGTCAACTCGCCCAATTTCGTGTCATCTTCCAACTTTGCCTCTCTAGTAAACAACCCAGCATAATCAGCAAACTCGCGGGCACCAGTTGCACCCTTCTTTGCATTTTTGTAGAGCTTCTTATGCTCCGCACGTACCCACGCCCCTACGTCGTTGTACAGCGCCTCTTGCCTCTCCGCAGCTGCCACCGCCCTCCGCTGCAAGAAAATCAACACCGCAAGGAAACCTATGACAGCATACCAACCACCTACAATGCTAAGGACTCCATGCGTCGCATGGGCTATGGCAGCGACAAAAGACAGGAAGAGGAGGAGTGGAGTAGTCTAAGTATGTACAAAATCTGCCAGGAAGAGCTTGCCAACTTCATACCGACTACTACCGGTACCGGTACCACGACTTAACGACGTGAGGACTGGAGTCGAGTCGGGTACAGTCAACATTCAGATATATATATACAGGGGGGGATTCAGGAATCCAGTAAATATAACAGTGTGTCTAAATATAGAGCGTTACTGCTACTAACCACTAGTAAAGAACGAGTGGAGAGTGCCATCACGTTTGCGTTTGCCAGCCCTTGTCGCCCTGGCCATATTCAAGGCTCTGGCAAACCTATCAAGATGCACAGTAGCAGCTTGGTTGATACCCAAGCTGGAGGCATTTCGGACAGCTTATTGAGGCCTCTTCAGCTTCGGCAATGAGGCAAACACATCGGCAGGTTCGGGTCAACGTCCATCGGTTCAGGCTCCTCATCATCAAGGACAGCCAGTTCGGCTTCGGTTGTTGTCGATTGGAGGAATTGTTATGGTTTGCTTGCACTTGTTTTGTTGCTCAGAGAATTGTTTTTGTCTCCTCTCTGCCATTCTGCGCAAATCTCGCGAAAACACCATGAAAAACCCCACGACGAAGATTTGCGCGGACTGGCAGAGAATGGACAGGCAAGCGAACTCCATCGGCACCTCATCGGCATGCATTGGCATGCATTGGCATTTACACGTATGTCTCTGTCGAATTGGACGTTTGGATGGATTGCGAGCGATTGTTTTGCTGCTACGAGATTTGCGAGGGTGTACTGACGTCATTCACGATCACTCGTGACTGGGGGGGGGAACTCGAGATATAATAAATATTATAGAGCGAATAAATATAAGATTATAAATATAAGCGAGCGTTAACTGTACCTCTAACGGTAGTGCCCCCACCAGATGGTGGGGAAACTAACGACTAAAACGGCTAGAACGAACAGGCGAGTTAGTTCAACGTCAAAGTTACACCGGCGACACAACCCAACAGCATTTCGTAAATCAAATTCACGGCTGCTGGGGAGTGGAAAGCAAACAGAAAAGCAGCATGCGCCATTTGGCTTACATGTAAATCGATTAATTCGACGGACAATGGCCATGGTCCCCCATGTTTGTCAACTTTTTTCGTCATGGTGAAGCCCCAAAATCACACAATAAATCACCGCATTACATAGGACGCACCACCGGACACCATTTTCTGAAGTGAAAAAATGGTATCATTAACGCCCCGAGAACTCCCAAAAATAGGGCATAGCTGTCGCTCACCAACCAAGATTATGAATGATACAGCAAGAAATGTACGGGTTTTGTCCATTTTCACGAAGGCAACGTGCAAAACGTACCAATCGCTAACTACTTAACGACCAAACCGAAAAAAACGAAGTACAACTGGTGCAGTGTACTTAGACGCCTAATCCCGCAACACTAATTGTTTTTCCAGTTAACCGACAAACGGAACCGAAATGTGTCAGCAATCACTAGGTACCATCCAGCATGACACCGGACGTTTAAGTCTTGGTTCTACCGGTTAACAAAATTTGCTAAATCAGCTCCGTAAGTGACATCATTACTACCGACTAATTGTACTGAAAAACGCACACACGTACGTCCACCCCCTACACAAATCACACAGTAGTACCCTCATCTTCAACCCGGTGACCCCTAACAAGAACCTCAACAAGAGACAAGGATGGACGAGTTAACAGAAGAATCGCCGGGATCCACATCAACAAAAACAATGACACTACTACTCGTTAGATTCTATTATCTACTAGATCACCATGTAATCGGAGGACGGCTCGCTAAGGCTGTCATCGTCACTAACACTAGAATTCGCGTCGAGGGAATCATCAACAGAAGACTCTTCCGGCGACCAAGACTCCTCTCGATCTTCTCTCATCTCCCACAATCGGTCAATGTCCTCAGGGCGGTAGCGAAGGCATGCCAGTCCTTCGATGAACGACTTCCACAAATGCTTGGCGTGCTTCCTCCTCCACATGCACTCGTACAAGTACTCCTGTAGATTGCTGCCCTCGCGTTGTGACTCCGGCACATTTTTTTTCAATACTCTCCAGTTGCCCTTGATCGTTTGGGTGTGGGTTCCATCCTGAGCGACGAATTCATACTTGTGGCATAGAGTACGGTGTTCGTAGTTGTATCCCTCCAGGTCCTTAATTTTGTTGTAGCCACCGTGTTTGTCAGTGTTGATCTGGGTCCCAGGACGTACGAAAGACATGATGAGGGGCAGGAGAGTGTTGGCCTTCCGATCTGGAATGACAATCAGAGCTAGCTTTCGCTCTCCTCCCCTCTCAACCATTCCAAAGACCCAGTCAGCGTTCACACATCTTCCACGGTTGTACTTCCGGCGTCCAAACTTGCCTTCATCTCCCTCCACAATCCTACCAGGGCCGCCGAGCATGTAGTCTTCCTTGTCAGCTTGGAGAACCATTTCAATCACCATTCGGCGAAAGTGTCTATACCACCTGCCAACGGTACCCTCGGACACTCCGGTAATGTGTGATGCCGTCCTGGCAGGAACCTTCAGTAGCCATAAGTAAGCGAGCCATAGGACCTGATCCTTGCGAATCTTTACATTTTGTAGAACACTGCCCTTGAGAACACTGCATTCGTAGCCCGTTCCTTTCACTCTCCAGGTCCAGTGACAGGAGCTGTTCTGGCAAACTTTGGAACGTAGCTCGCCGGTGTCATCATGGTATTCTGCCATAGGACCGTCACACTTATCACACTTGGAAGGAATAATGAACCGGCAAGCAGCTGCTCTGCATCGAACAGTGTTCCTTTGGTTGGGTGTGTACGCAATAGGACGTGTGCACCGCGGACAAACAGTCGGTGGACAGATAACCCCTTTCTTGATAAAGAACTCCTGGGCTTTGTCATTGTCGGTGAGAACAGGGCGCAACTCATCGAAGGAGGGCATAACCCCACCATCCTCAAGCCGGTGCACCTCACGAACGGCCCGTCGCCTCCTCTGGCCTCTGCTCAAAGTACCATCTCCACGTCTGTTGGTGTCGTCGTGCCTGGTCCCACGCCTATTTCTGCGGCGTAGGCGTCGCCACCAAGGGCGATAAGAGCCCTGCCGCTGCATTGAAAAGCAACGAATCTATTGAAAAATTATGCTTACGGAAAACGTACGATTTTAAAAAAGCCCAGCATAAGCAGCAGCGATGACCAGAAAAAAAGCACCGCCAAATGCATCACCAATGCGACTAATAAGGAGGTCCAAATAGAGGAACCCATTTATTAAGCTATAGATATTTGTTGATTGTTGCATGCGTATCATGGGCCCTATGTACCGTAACCGTCCCTCCATGGCGGCACTCTCAGTCGCTCGCCATTCAGGTTCCAGCGAAGGAAATAGCCATGGGAGTGGATTGTCGCGTTGCTTGCGTGGCACCAAAGTATTGGCCATCCAATTTAAATTTCAAATTTCACGGATCGCCTCCCCCCAACACCTGCCGCCAATGATTCGGTTGATTGTTGTTTTGTTACTGTCACAAAAAAATGTCACACCAATACGGACGAGTGAGATACGCACTGAGGGGCAGGAGCATCATGTCACCCACCTTTTCCCCATGCAAGAGATCAACTCCATCGCCAAACCAGGACGGCATGTTTGGTTTCTTTACTCAAGAACAACTGCCCCCCACGCCTCCGCTTAAGCCAAAAGGGAAACCCAAAGATGACCGCCTGTACGAAACACCAGACAAGGAGAACCGTGAGCCCCAGAAACAACACAGCCGTGCCGCCAAAAGACCACCACTCACACCTGAACCAGCCGGTCTCCCCCCAACCAAAATCAACAATGCCCCTGTTCCGTCCATCGAGAAGCAAATCCAGCAACAGCTCGCCAACCAGGATGCTGCAGGGCACTACACTGGTGGACGCATGGAACCCGGTGAGTCACCCTACATGTTCTTGCTCGCTGATGTCTTCATCACCAGTAAAACGAAGACTCACCGACTGGGTTTTTGGCGACCAAAAAAAGAATCCCCCAACGACAGCGTCCTGTCGTACAACTCGCAGAACGAACTCTACGACACCTCTGTGGACCGAAACAGCTTGAAGAAATGGCTGATCGAAGAATCCGAAATGAATGCCGAGATAATGGCGAGGATGGGTGCCCCCACACCACAAAAAGCGAAGAAGCCGCAAGCCCAAACTGGTAGCGAAATCAAGCCAAAGAAGAAGATGCCGAAGGGAGGAAAGGCCAAAGTGGATGCCATCATGAGGTCGGTCCGACAGTCTGTGACCGATCAATTCATCGCCAACCCAAGAATGATGGAGCTCAAGGAGGAAGACGTTGCCTCCAGAATCGCCCAACTGGCATTGGAAATATCTGGCGAAGCAGCGGCCCTCCCATCAGCAGTGAATCATGCTCGAAATGCAGCAAAGAAAAAGAATCCTCAGGACGTTTAGATCACCGTTTTTAGAAGATTAAGCGATCAGAAAGTGAAAGCAACAGCGAGAAGTGAGAGGGTTTTGTAGGCCGTTAAGTAATGTAGTGAATAAAAAAGCGAGAAAGTAGAACCCTTTAAGTATTAGAAAATCAATCTATTTACGGCGAGTGCAAAGTCACCTCTCTTCAGCGATGAGTTTGAGCGACAAAATGAAGGGATTGTTGAGCCGCGGCTGCTCGACAAACTGAACTCGACTCGACGGTTCCAAGAAGAAGAATGCCCCCGACGTCATACTCAAGACTCAAGGCACCTCTTCCGCTGTCCCAAAAGTCAGCCGTGCCGCACGCAAACTCAACCATGCACCGGCCAAACAACCCCA